AAAAATAGGGCATCTTAGAGGCCTTAGAAAATGATGTCTCTTCGAATGACCCGTTCGAACAAACTTCCCATAATTAAGTGCAATGTATAACACCTAGCGCTCCTTTGACTGAAAAAAGACTGATCTCACAATAACGTATATGATTGATACGAAATATTATCTCCGCCTTGCCAGCGAAGGGCCTCGGCGTCGGTACTAATTGTTAATACTTACCGCGATAATGAGGCAGCATCTTGAAAAAAGTGGCATTACTGAGGATATGAGCCGTTAAAGAAGCTGCCATAACACTTGAGAATAGTCTCCACGAACCGGTGGTAGATTTCCTACCATCTGCGAAATCGGAGACGCCTTTAATAGCAACGACTTCGATATCCAGGTCCCTTGCCGCTGCGAAAAGACCTAGAAGAAAAGTTTTAATTCTGTAGACTACAACAAACATTCACATTGGCCAAGAAATCTTTTTCACCGGTAAACTCTGTTGTACGAGGCAAAACTGCTTCGAGGATTTTAAAAACGCTATCAATACGCAATAAAGTAACGGCAGAGAGTGACTGGGTGTTCTTTGAAATTCGCTCACGCTGTGTAAGTTCGACTGAGCGCCTACCTACTGAGGCCTAGGATGAGGAGGTACAGTCAAACCTCTTTAATACGGACACCAAAGGGACAGAACCAAGTGTCCGCTTTACAGAGGTGTCCGTATTATAGAGGTAGGGAATTTATGATTTTTCGCATTTCCGGGACCAAACGAACTGTCCGTAATAGAGAGGTGTCCGTATTATAGAGGTGTCCGTAAGGAGAGGTTTGACTGTAATTGAATCAGTGTTGAATCAATGAATAAAAAGAAAGGCTAAAATAAAAACTTCACAATCTACAACAATTCTCCATGGTCTATACTCTTATCGACCATAGCAATGACGTCAACATGTTCAAACAACAAGAGGAACCACGAGCCCCAGGAGAGTGGTTTCACCGGCAAAGTTTGAACATTTTGAAAGCCGCAGTGGCTTACCCGCTGAACTGATGGCAAGTGCCGCGACTTCCGTTTGGCTTCCTAAAAGTTTCTATGGCTATTCTGACTGGTTGCTTTCACCAGCAAATGTTACTGGCTCTGCTTTTTATTGATGTTTATTTTCGAAGCGCCGCTCATTGGCAACGCTCTACATTTCCGAAGCTAAAACTGCTATTTTTGCATCTGAACGAGATTTTGCTACGCCGTAGCAAATCGATTCAACCTGATCTTTACCATTTAATCCTGCGATCTTTATTAAGGTTCTCCAAACAACTTTTCCAACCGAAATGAAGCTGAGTAAACTCTCAGCCAAAAAAATTGAATTAAAAGAAGAAAAGGGAAAGGTAAAGGCGAGACTGCTGCTGATATTTACCATCAGAAACAGAAGGCAACGTAGCGCTCGACGTCCAAACAGCGTTCTGGGTAATTTTGGTTCTTTTCGGCCAGACAGAAAACGGCTCAACTAACTTCAAAAGACGTTTTCGGAAAATTTCAAAGAGCGAATGGGTAAGAATATCTGAGAAAGAAAAGTACAGTCAAACCTCTCCTTACGGACACCTCTCTATTACGGACAGTTCGTTTGGTCCCGGAAATGCGAAAAATCATAAATTCCCTACCTCTATAATACGGACACCTCTGTAAAGCGGACACTTGGTTCTGTCCCTTTGATGTCCGTATTAAAGAGGTTTGATTGTAAAGCTGAAAGTAAATGCAGTTGCCTCGCAAAGGGCTATTGTAGTTCCGTTCTTCGCACGGCTCAGATGACCACGTAAGATGGCGGTCCTGTGTCCAGTACGGGGTGTAGAAATGGTGTCCTTAACTAGTACAGTACTTGTGTGTTAAATACATTAATTGAAACTCTAGTAAAGTGCTTTTTCAATTAAAGAAAGTGCAGTTTCTGTACAAGTATTCCCCCTTGCCAGGTTTTACACATTGATCTTACCCGCTGTCTAGGTACAATCTAAATCTCACCTCCACTCTCCATGTCCATAACGACGGCATCAGGGAATCGCGCGATAAGTGCTGCATGTCGTTCTTCACTATCAACTATCTCTGGACCACTCAACATCGCGCCATTTTTTATAACACGCACTTCCATTTCATCGCCATAGTTCAACGGTGGTCTCCAGTCGTCACTCGCCCATAATATGAGCCGCGCAAGTTGACCCCCGGGTGGACCTTGGTCTAGCCGCAAATCAAACCCTCGCCCCTGAATTCCACTTTCGGTTTTGACAAAGGTCCATTGCCTAGACTTCGGTGAAATTACCACATCTCCTAATTTGACTTTGACTTCACTTAAACCACCGCAGCATCCTACCCCAAATACAACTTTAGGCATCAAAACGTAAACGGCATTCATGAACAGAAAAAGAGAACCAGGAGGCATTTTCATTAGGGCAATTTCCATTGAATTCCCCTGTTCACCAATTTTTCCAAAATACAATAATCCAACATCTCTGTGAAAACTTTTATAGAATCCCGGATTCAAATAAGAGACACAACTTAGAAATTCGTCGTCCTTCCCCGTCACTAACAAAGCATCGACCGGTAGTTCAACGTCAGACCAAGGTATTGTCTTGTTGGGAAGTTCCTCCATTAATAGCAGTTTCCTGGCAGGTAGCTCAGTAAAATCGATCACTGGTGGATTACTGTTGCTGGTTTCTGAGACTTCCATTTCTAATATGTAATAAAACCAAATGTCATAATTATGTCAAAATGTAATTATAATTGCGGGCCAGCAGCAAAAGCGGTTTTATCAACTGAATCTGGCCACATTCTTGGCATGCTTTTGTTCTTCCAAATGGCATGAATGGTATGTGAGTCCTGTGAGCCCTGGTGGTGAGTTTAACGCCCATCTGATGTCCCTGTAGTAATCAGGTAATGACGTGAATGTAATGGAGCAATGTTATTTGTTCGAATTGTAAACTCACGTATATTCCGTACCAGATGCACGACTTTTTGTCATGACTCGCTTTGCCCGCCGGAAATCTATTTATCAAACGAAATGAAAGTAGAGCCTGATCTAAGCATAGTGTCGCCTTGCCCGCCGGAAATCTATTTACCAAAAGAAATGAAAGTAGAGCTTGATCTAAACATAGTGCGTCGATAGTGTGGGACGAGCCTTCGGTAAGATACAAGTGATTGCAGAAACTATAAAATCCATATAAGCTTAGATAATTGCTCGTTTTTCCTCTCTAAAATTTCAAAAGTTATTTTTAGCACTACAGTAGTTTTCTTTTATGCTTCCAAGCAGCATGTGAACACAGATTTAATAACCCATAGGCCTTTTTCAAAATACCTCTTTGTTGACCCTCCAAAATTTTGCATCATAAGCATTGTTTTTAATTTTTCTCGGGACTTACAATCGGCACAAGAGAAATTAAAAACAATACTTATGCAAAATGTTTGGGGGACAACCAAGAGTATTACCGCACTTTTTTAAAAAAGGCCTATTAAGTAATTCTAATAAAGTTTCGTGCAGTTATGACTGTACATGGGACCACATTGGGTGTTGCCAAGTATTATGATTACTGTTTTCACTGTATCTGGGGAAGCTACGTTCTTAATTGAGGGGGAGGTGGGATGGGGCTTGGGAGCGGAGAGTAATCAGTCAAAAAAAAGAGAGAATGAGCTAACACAGCATGAAAATGGAGATTTACGCAGAATTAAAGTTTGCGTAAACCTGCGTAAAGTTGGTCATCCAACTTTACGCAAACTTTCCACGGCGCGTAAAGGTTTGTAAAGGTAAATTTACGCTCTCGGCTCTTAAAGTTTTAGTAAAGCTAGCATAAAGTTGTTGTAACAGCTTTACGCTCATTTACGCTACACGTAAAGGTTTAGTAAGGTTGTCATATAATGCTACCTTCCTAATGAGGAATTTATTCCCGGCACTGCTTTTAGTAAGTCGTTTGATTCCTGACACTAGTTCGCGTAGTTTTTTTGATCACTCAAGACATTTGGTGTTCGATGTTGGTGTGCGATGTAAACAAGCCAACCACGCAAATTGTTTTTTTTTGGCGGTGCAAACGACTTCGAGCCCGTTCAAAAATGAAGCTGAAAAGAAAATCCTGCCAGCAGGGTTCATGCAAAGATATAACTTGCGACTGTGCGGCAATTTTCGAAAAACGGCATATCTGTCGCGGCAAACACAATAACCTTCAATACTCAGTAGTATTGCCTCATTGATTTCAGTCAGTACAGTATAACTGGGTTTGATAGTACAGTTTGTTGCAGTTTTAAGCTCACCAAATTTCAGAAAAAATTGAGGTAGTATCATGTTATACTGACTCGAACCTCGGAACTAACGGCCACCTCTTCCTTGTCTCTACACGGGCCATTTTTTTTTTTGGTGGACGGTCCATACATGACATACATACATTCACTCTTCTTTCAACCTCTCTACAATGGCCACTTTCTTCGATGTCCCTAAGGTGGCCGTTGTAGAGAGTTTCAACTGTAATTTGATCAAATTGAAATAATTGGAAAAATAAAGAAAAAATATCGCCGCGCAAAAACGGCGAGTTTTACTTAAAGAAAGAACGCATTACTTAAAGTGAAAGAACGCATTTACAAATTACTCTGACCATTTTACATTCAACGGAGTACTGGCTTCATTGTTGAATCTCCTTTATCGCTTCCTTATTTTAAGTCCGCGGACTTCAGTTTTGGGAACGGGCAATTTATTGAAAGAAAGGGGCCTGGAAACAATACAGTGAAGGGACAGCTGGTCAGCGGGCTTGTTCCTTTGGACATGCTCAATCGAGCTCGTTGATTTGGCGTCCATTTTGAAAGTGTCAAACGGTTTCAAACTTGCTTCTTTGGAAGTTTGGAGATCGTTCATACATAATTATGCTTCTTGATAGCATCACAGGACCCTAGGTTGTTAGAAATTATTATTGCACTATCAGCCTTTAGTAATCGATCACTTCTCAAGTGTAAAGCAACCCTTTCGGGACGAGATGGAGACAGAAACATCGTGAGAAGCGCAAGCATTAACACTGGAATGTTCACAACACAGACCAAGACTGTATTACTAAGGTTCTTCGACACTCAAGATTTCACTGAAAAGAGCAGATAGCAAGGCAAGGTAAGTTGTCCTGGCTCGCCTTTTCTCTAACTTTTTAAGCTTAATTCCAAACTTGTTTATGATTAGTTCCAATGACTGTGTCAATTATTCAGTAACTAACATTTAAGTGAGTAATGAAACCAGCATTAACCGTTTAAAGTAAATTATAACTAAACAGATGTATTTATTTGGCATAACCTTTCAATACTAAGCAAGCAACGAGACCATGACGATGAAGATGATAATGTAAAATTATGTAAAGACTTTGGGGGTCTGAAGGAGTAGAGTTTCCTTGTTTTGTACTGGAAAATGGGAGTTTGGTCACTCGTACTGGGAATTACTAAAAGAAATGGAATTAAGAAAGAACATCTGTATAAAGTAAGCTTACATGTAATGTGATACAAACATTCTTATGAAAATTTTCACAGACTATAGAAGAACCAATAAACAGAATAGAAAAGTGTTAACAAGTGTTGAATTTACTAGTAGGCAAAGGTAATCTAGTCTGGTTCTATATTTTCAAGCTTTCCAATTCCCCGGGCAGTCATAGGGAACAAAACCTCTCTGCAATCCAGGTCATAAGTAGTGAATAATTTAATAGCATGCATGTATTTTTTGAAGCAGGTACAAAAGTTTATTTATGATTTTAAATTACGTGGGTTTTAACTTAAATGAACAGAGAATGAACAGACATTTTCATGAGTCTCAATGCATAGCTAATGCAGACCATGATTGAATTAGAATGTATTTTCATGTAAGTGCCAACATGGTTGTTAACATCTTCAGAGGTTCATACCTTTATCTGCACTTCAAAGAATGATTCATTTCATATATTACCATTCATTTCAATCTTTACTGTGCACTGCTCTTATGAAATTATATTATGGTTCTTGAGAGGATACAGTGCAGTACATACTGCAGGAAATTGAATACCTTACTTTTTGGGAAGCAAAGCACACAATCATGTTAGAAACTAGAAGTTGTTCTATTTGCACCATAGTTGTGTCATAAGTAAATCTAAGTTTTAAGGGAAATAAAATTTAAAGAAACAAGTTGTTGCCCATCGGGCAAGTTAAGTTCAAAATTCACTAGCTCGATAGCAAAATTCACTAGCCCCGGGCTATCAGACACTACTTTCTTTGCATGCTGCTTACTCTCTAATAATAATAATAATGTACATCCATTACTTTTTCACAGCACTTTACAACAATATTTATGGATGATACTTTTATAAAAATGCATACATGAAAATAAAAAAAAGATATACATTGTAAAACATTGAACTCTAATAATACAGTAAACCATTATTAATAAATTTAACATATATATATTATGCTTCAGTCAGTCTCCCCATTAATCACTCAACATCAAGTAGGGTTCTAAATGTCAATATAATTGCTTTTAAGGAAAGCCTTTAACTCATACTGGTCAAACATTTTGAATCTTTAACAGTCAGATGAATCTTATTCAGTTGTGTGAATTTGTAGACATTGAACTCATTTGCTGCTCAGGTTTTGCTCTGTTATTAATTCCCTTGTGGAAAATGCCTTATCATTTTTTCAAATTTTTAGTCTTGGTTTGTGAAAAGAGCCATGTGGGGAACCCTTTGTCAAGTAAAATTGTGCTGATTGTAGTAATTTGGCCATAAGTGCAGAAAAAAATATTATTAAGTAATAGCAGGGGGTGTCCTCTGGCAACTTAGGGGGTGTTTAAATGACACCGGGTTCGACTTTCACCCCGGAGCGAGTTCACTCCGGTTCCCTCTCATGGCTCTATATTTGTTTACATGATACCACCACAAAATGTCATGCCGGCGCGTGTCACCCCAGAGTGACTTCATCCCGGTTCTTGTACCAGGGCAAGAATTTCACTCTGGTACGAAATCTCACAGCGGTATCATGTAAGCACAAAAAGACCACCCGTTTCTGTGTGAAATCAGTCTGCCGGTGGACTGGAATAGGTAGCGCATGCATAATGTTTGTGATTTTGAATCACACGTGTATTTTATCAACATGAAGTGTACCTTCAAATAACGAGATATGAAATGACTCAGTCATAATGTAAACCCGACGCAAAATCAAAAAGTCATCCCGGTATGAGACTCGTGCCAGTGCAAGTTTTCTCATGTAAGCACCCCCTTACTGTACATGTACTTGTGCCTTTAGTGCCCGATTAAGTGTATTATCACTAGCCTACAAGTAATCTGTGTAGTTTACTTAAATAATACTTGCTTTCTATTTATTCAGCAGATCAGCATGGTATGGGATGTTGGTGACAGAAAGTCCTCTCAAAGCAAACAGGATTAATACATGTTAATTACAAGCTTTAGTCTTGTAAAGTGGTTCCAGGGCTGTCACTAAGGGCCATAAACCAGACTTTAAATTGGCTACTTTGAGCCCAATACTTTGCTATTTTGAGAGGAAACGAAAGGATAATTTATTAAAACACAAACAACTTACCACCCTTTCAATGTCCCGCTCACTAATTTCATTTACTCTCTAACAACTTGCAATTTCAGTGACAGCCTTGTGCATCTAACTTTTACATCATCAGTTTATGAAAATGATTTGTTGTTTGGATTTTTTTGTTAAATTTGACTGTAAACACTTCTGGGAGTGAAAGGACTAAGTCAAGAAACCATCAATGATATACATGTATTAGGCTTTCAGTCTTTTTATTTCTTATCTAAAATTGTTTAAGCTTTTAATTTGAATTATGCTAAATTATACTAAATATTTTCATTTTGGAAGAGACCATTTTGACCCACCATTACATTCATTTGTGTGTTAGAGTTGCTGTTTTTTTATCAAAATTTAACTTCATCAGTTTTCTTGTACCTTACATGAAAATACTAATAATTATTTTAAACTATAAAACATCTTAATTTGGTATAATACTAAGTTAAGATTTTTTTTTTATTATTTTTTGAGAAGACTGTTTTGACCCATTTGAAAAGTTTATATACACTGTATCTTCTTATTTAAACCTTACTAAGGTGTTGGAAAAATTTTCGTTTTTTTAATTTTTAATGTAATGACAAAAGGCTTCCATGGGAGAGGACTTCTCTAACTAAAGCTAAGAGAGAGCTTGATGAGGCTTATTCCAGAAGCCTCGAATCCAAAAGGGTACACCTGGTGACAAGACGCCCGCACCCAATGCCATCAACAAGACGCCGACCCACTGAGCCTCTAGAATGGGCAGTCAGGGCTGAGAATCCAGCCCCTACACCTGTCATCCGGCCATCTTCATCTACATGTACTAGAACTCCAAGTCATCCTACGCCAGCAGTTATACCACCCACCAGCACCCGTCCTCCTTCATCTGGAACTCCACCTACCCGCACCCGTCCTCCTTCATCTGGAACTCCACCTACACGCACCCATCCTCCTTCATCTGGAACTCAACCTACCCGCACCTGTCCTCCTTCATCTGGAACTCCACCTAACAGCACCCATCCTCCTTCATCTGGAACTCCACCTTCCCGCACCGTCCCCTCCAACAACTGGAAGTCCACCCACCCGCCCTTCTCCTTCATCTTGTCCAGCAAGAACTACAACTCCATCCCCCAGTACCAGTTCTGCCCGTCTGCCAGCAACAGTGACGCCATCCCCAGCACCCTTTCTTCAAGATCTGGAACTTCGTCCCTCTTACCTGACTGTAGCTCCACTCCCAAGACATCCAAACAAAAAAAAACTTTAAAGTCAAAAAAGGACGTGGCCCATAGGCGTTCTGCTTCGCCAGCTTATTGATATTTTTACAAGTACATTCTTTTTTTTAATTTATATTTTTGTAACAACTTTTTTTGCAGTGATGCTACCAAATAGGTAACAGTTTCTATTTTTACTACACTTGGGATTGCATTTTTTTTTATTTTGACACTTGTTTCAAGGCATTTGATACAAACATTGATACAAGAACATGTGTTAAAGTTTCTGTTCAACTTGTTTTTTAAAAAAAGAACGAAGTTTTCAACTTTACATATAGTGGTGCATTTCAAGAAAAAAGCCTTCAATATTTCAAGCAAGAATTAAATTATAAGACAAGGTATTCAAAGATTCTGCTTTAGGAATGAAGTTTTCAATATTAGTGGTAACTGATGTTATTTTGTAACAAGGTTTTCAATTTTGCATTTGTCTGTTACAGTTAGACTTAAAGAGATGATAGAACAAGATTTTAAATGTTTCTGTTCAACTTGTCTTTAAGATAAGAATGAAGTTTTCAATTTTACATATAGTTGTGCATTTTCTAGAAAAAAGGTTTAAATATTTCAAGCAAGAATTAAATTATAAGACAATTTATTCAAAGCTTCTGCTGTAGGAATGAAGTTTTCAATTTTACTTTATTTTAAGTGGTAACTGATGTTATTATTGTAACAAGGTTTTCAATTTTGCATTTGTCTGTTACAGTTAGACGTAAAGAGATGATAGAACAAGATTTTAAATGTTTCCGCTACAGTATGAAAATTGATTTAAGTACAAATGGTGACATATAAGAAAATGATTTTTGAACAAATAAAACAGAATTTGATTGAATACAGCAGATTGATTGATTTAACTGGCTCCTTTCCTTCCCAACGTTGTATTTTCTCATTTTATTTTCCCTCTAGGGTTTAAAATAATTATGCAAAGAAGAAAATAGCAGAAAATGTAATCATGTCTGTTGTTGAGCTTTGCCTTCCAGCCAATACATGAGCATGTTGCAACTTTACACCAGTTATACATTTAAATCTGGCTTACTAAGATGCCTAAACGCTTTATTTAGATGTAAAGGTGGCGTAAATGTGGAGTTTATACCAGCTATACGTATTATGTCTGTTGTCGCGCTTTTTCTGCAAGACAAGAGCATGTTAACTTTACATCACAGTACATATAAATCTGGCCTAAAGATGCCTATACACTTTATTTAGATCTATGTAAAGCTGGCGTAAATGTGAAGTTTATTCAAGCTTTACGCTGGCTTTTAGTCCACTTACAGGTGTTTCTTTACTCCAGCTTTACGCAAAAGTGTAAATGTAGCGTAAAGCTTAACTTTACGTAATGTAAAGGTCGTGTAAAGGTGTGTAAATCCAAACTTTACACCAGCTTTACGCTCACATTATGCTAACTTAAATTTGCCTTTTCATGCTGTGTAAGCTTAGCTCATTCTCTCGTGGTAAAAATTTTTCAGATGAGTAAGGGTCAGAAGACACTTTTATAAAGCATGGACTGGACTGGACTGGACTGGATTGGTAAAACATGGACTGGACTGATAAAACATGGGTTAATAAAACATGGATTAAAAACCATGGATTGATAAAACGTAGATTGATAAAACAATGGATTAATAAGCGTAGATTAATAAAAAATGGATTGATGAAATATAGATTGATAAAACATGGATTGATAAAATATGGATAGAAAAAAAATGGATTGATGAAATATGGATTGATAAACTTGAAACATGGATTAATAAACATGGACTGATAAAAGCAAGACAGTTTTTTCCCCATCAAAAGCTCCTTCAAGAACGATGCTACGTGTAAGTCTATTGTACCGTAACTATTAAAATGCCGCTAAAATACTCAAGCCTGCTTGCAATGAACGCGTGAGTGAGGGTTTCAGTGCTTTGGATAGGAATTTTCTGATGTGACGAACGATGTAAAGGTAGCAAAATGCTGCTGCACACGTCTTATTAATGTGAGCAGAGATAGTATTGTAAGCGACAATTCGTTTGAAGGTATAAAGTAAACTCTGAATGATTGCATGAAACTTCAGACTGTGAGTATTTGAAGGAGGTGTTCTTTAGTATTGATATGGTGGTCAAGAGACCAAATCGAAAATATTCAGATTAAAATGAAAATCAACATGTCTTTATTTATACTGAATAAATCGTTTGCAGTTATTTCAAAAAAACGTTGTCGGAAGAAAAGCAGAGAGTCTTCAAGCCACAACCTCAAGGTAATGTGCGAGCGGAAAATCATTCCACTAACTAGCCGCTGATTTTTTTCATAGTTATCATTTAAAACCAAACAAACAAAACGTAAAATCACGTTTCAGTAGAAGGGCACCCCCGATCGCCTGTTCCTGTCTTTGAAGAGCAATTTTGTTCAGCTATATTAAATAAGTATGCTGTAGTCGTGCACTGGGTCAAAGACAAAAAAGCATGATGCACGTGCAAAGTTGTTGCTATTCTAAACATGTTGATTTTTTGCCGTTCTCGTTTCCGTCGCAGTCTTATTTCCCTACCGTTTGATGGCCATCCAACTAACTATGACTTCAGAGTTTTCAAAAGTTTCGGAATCTCTCGCATAACGGTCCACTCTGTTCTTAGGGACATACGCAAAGTGGCCTCTACTCCATCTAGGGATTGCAAGTCATTAAATTATGAAAATCTCATACTACCTTACAGTCGTAGCTTAAAAAATCAACAGTGTGGGAAATTTTGAATCTGATTTGCGCCCAATGCACGACGTTTGTATGAAGATATCAGGAAGAAATATCACCATCGGTCCATTGGTGACCGTATTAACGTTGTTCCACTGTTTACCTAGTAAGAGAAATAGCCGACGACGATCGCGTGATCTCAGTTGAGACACGTAGTGTCTGATTACTATTGCACTCTGTAATCAGTCTAACAATTCACTGTTTCGGTCCCTTCGCATTCGGAATCTTTGCATGGACTGGATGTCTTCGATCTCTAGTCGACAAACAGTTCGCTGGTAAATTATTCACATAGCGAGTGAAAATGAGTACTTGAAAATGATCGCGGATCTTGTCCACCAAGAAGACAAAGACATCAATGGCGACCGCTATTAAAGCCAACTTAGCGACCCTCATTAATGCATTCCCATTTCCTAAATAATTGAGTTGGTTCTTCAGTGCAAATTTCAATCCAATTTTCATTTAGTCCTGATTCAAGAGCTAACAATTAGTTTACTGAAAAACACAGTAAAGGAAATGAAAATCCATGGGAAACCGAACCACGGGAGCCAAAATTCACGCTCAATTGAATTAAAGAACATTGTTCACATACAGATACTAAATTCTTAACCAGATAAAAGTTGTTACGCTTTACATCTTCATAAAATACCTTGAATTGTTTCAAATCTCGGTGAAATCCTTCGGTCAGGAAACTTTGGCGTGGCAGGAACGATACCTGTAGGAATTCATGCCAACAGCGCCAGCATAGCGGAGCCTTTCTTATAATAGCTCATTGATCTGATAGATGGCTGACACAGGCGCAAGAGGGGGCTTAAAAAAGGTGGAGGAACAATAGAGAGGAGAGGTCGTTACGTCACGTTGCCATGGTAGCAAAATTTTTGGATGACAACAAACCAAAACGTGGATTCGCACTGTTTCAAACTTCATCGATCTTATTTAATTTCATTTAATTTGTCAAATGTTGGCGAACTTTTCTAGGTTAAACCCGAAAAGACCGTATGTAAGTTTAGAAAAACAAAAACCAAAAGTTTTGTTTTGTTCTCACTACACCATAAATCGGGCGCGTGAAATTAGGAAACTGCATGTCGCGGTCGTGCAACAACGACTAAGAAATGTACAAAAAGCGTGATGCAGTCAGATGCACGTGCAAAGATGTTATTTTGCCAATCTAAACCTATTGTTTTTTGCTGTTCGCCGTCGCCGTTGCAAAAACTCCCTATTGCTGTCATGCAGAAATATTGCTACCATGGTAACGTGACGTCACACTTCTCCTCTCTATTACACCTTTTGCTGTTCATTACGAGAAAATACGCATTTATTTGCGTGAAACGGAGACCAACAGCGCGAAGATACATTCATTAGCGCGAAAAACGAACATTGGCGCATAAATCAGATCTAATAACGATTTTTGCATTTTAATCAACATTCAATAACATTTTTGGGCATTCATTTGCGTCATTCGACATACAAAAAAGAAAAATATACTTTCATTAACGCCGAAATTCGAGTCATTAACATTATCTTGAAAATCATTAGAGACAATGGACAAACATTTAAGTGCAAACGCTATTCATTAACATTTTTATGACACTGTTTGAAATTCAATAACATTCCTGGACAGCTTTAGAATGGATAAGACAAACATTAATGCGCTTGTACAATCAATTGAGCGTTCTTTACATTTAATATACAAAAATATATTTTCAATTAAACAAAACCAATTCCCCCACCCCCACAATTGGCCTGAATTTGTTTAAAGAATCACGCCGTACTTCGACACTGTGTGTTCGTCGATGGCTGCGGCTATACCTTTACCTTAGACGGCCGGAAGTCATGGTGGGGCGCGACAGGGAGTGGAGGGCGTACCGCCAAGTGTGCGGCCAACGAGGGCGAAACTTGACTATGACCATGGCAATCATACCTATCAAATGTTTTCCTCGGCAGCTGCTGGAGTAGTAAATACTCTGTCGGTTTTTCGGTGACTTTCTGGCACGGGCGAGGAAAAAATGGATCCCGATAAGTCGGTGGCCTTTGTGTATGATGGGGTGCCAGCCCACCTAGATTTGGCCATTCCCGCCCCATACGTACACAGCTTATGCTTCCCCCCTCGACATCGTTGAAAAGGATTTAAGTTGTCTGAAAGCGACACCAAAGGCCGACATCTCGAGTCCGGAAATTTAAAGATGTATAACAGGAATGCCCTAGCAATCCCACTAGCGGAGTTCGGAAACAACAACTGCAGTGCTTGAAGCTCTGCGCAGAAACATGACATTGTGACCGCAGCTAAATGTGCTAAGGGGTACCATTTCATGCAAACCTACCTCCCAAAATGTTTAAATAGCGAGGTTTTTGAGGGATATACATTTAACGGACTGAAATTCAGGCCAAATTTGTTTGAATTTCTATTGTTTAATTGAAAATCGATTTTTGTATATTAAATGTAAAGAACACTCAATTGATTGTACAAGCGCAGTAATGTTTATCTTATCCATCCTAAGGTTGTCCAGGAATGCTATTGAATCGCAAACAGTGTCATAAAAATATTAATGAATAGTGTTTGCACTGTCGCTATTGACTTTCAAGATGGTGTTAATGACTTTGATGTTGGCGTAGCCTCCCCGCAGACGTCCTTTGGGGTTCGTTTGTCACGCTTTCATTTCTCCCCCACGACAAACGAACCCCAAAGGACGTCTGCGGGGAGGCTAATGTTGGCGTTAATGAAAGTATATTTCTCTCTTTTGTATGCCCAATGACGCTTATGAATGCCCAATAGTGTTATTGAATGTTGATTAAAATGCAAAAATCGTAACTGAATCTGATTTATGCGCAAATGTTCGTATTTTCGCGCTAATGAATGTATCTTCACACTATTGGTCGCCATTTCACGCAAATGATTGCGCATTTTCTCGTAATGAACAGCAAAAGGTGTCAGTTAAACACGTGTAGAGGGTATTGGTAGTTTTCACTGTCACGCCATCAAAATTAAAAATGGAAACCTTTTAATACAGAAAGTCTAGAATCTGGGAAATGAAAGAAGATAAATATACAAAAAGCCTTGCCAAGAATCAGGTCTGTGCAATATTTCATATCCGAGATATTCGGAAAAAAGTTTTACTCACATTTATAAAACTTTGTACGGAGACACCATGTTAGTGTCCCTGTGAGTGGCACAAATATGGCCGCCGGAAACCAACAGAAACATCAGTTTTTGAGTTTTCCTACTAATGCATGATTCTTCGTTTGAGGAACTCATAAAGATTAAAGTGATATTTATTCTGAGACAAGGAATGTCTAGGTAGCAAAATCTCTCAACATCGGTAATGTTTTTAACCCTCATTAGAGTTTTCCTGGCCGTCAGCTAAATTCCGCTTCACACAAAAGCCTGAAAATTCAAGAGTCCGGCTGTGTTGAAAAACGAAGAACCCTTTTGAACCGAAAATTTGTTTGTATAAATATACCACATGAAAGTAGAAACTCAGAAGAAGCGATACTTTCTTAGTTTGAATTTTGGTGGCGTCATGTGAAAACCAACTAAATACAAATACTTTTTACGCGGGATGACGTCAGTCAGCCCGTGTCTAAAATTCGGTCGATCGTACGTATTTTTTCAAGGAACTCACAAATCGGCCATTTCTGATTTCCCCAGGGCCTCTGTTTCAAAACGAGGTTTTAACCTCGTTCAGCCATAGATACGAAAATGGTTTTTCATTCTCATGCAAATGAAACTTATTTTCACAAGAAAGAGTGTGCACCTACCCTGCGAACAGAGTCTCCTTCGATCTTGCTAGGTAAGTTGGGAAGAGGAAGGAACCAGAGTCTCTTCCTCTTTGAAACTTTTTATATCAAATGACGACAGCCAAATCCTGCTGTTTTATCCAAGATAGAAATATAGACATAAATAACAAAACAGCAAAGAGAAAAGCGACTCTTTGAGGTTTCTCGTTATTTCGGACGGAAAAGCCGTACTTCCTCAGGGGGTTTAAGGAAGAATCGCAAAGTCGTCCCCTGAAGAAAGACAGCTTGTCCGTCGGAAATATCTGGAAACCTCAAGTCGCTCTTCTCTTTGCTGTTTTGTTATTTATGTCCATATTTTCGCTTCCTCTTTAATTCCCGACTTATGTAGGAAAGATCAAATCGACTCTGCCAGCTGGGTAGTGTGCACCTGGCCTCATTTTGAAAGTGAAGATTTGTGGGAAGGAAGGCCTTATCGCATCACAGGCGGCCCAACTCATCTTATTATTAGGAGATGATACTAGTGACAACATGGTATGCCAGAATCTGGTATGCTGGGACGAGCTTTCGTTAAAAAGTCCTACAGGCGTTCCCTCGCTCTCACCCCCTACCTCACCCCCTCGCTATTTTTTCTGCTCACATCTCGATGCGTCTTCCCCACGATCTGAACGCCTGGAACAGGCTAAGTATTGATTATTATTTATTCACTGGCTTACAATCTCTAGATTCTTTGTCTACGAGAATGTTGGAATTTTCAACTCCAATGCCCACGCAATATATCTCGCTCAAACCCTGCTCGGTGTTTGCGCTTTAAATGCTCCTGGGACAACGATTCCAATCTCAAGCCTTCTTTATCTGTAACGTTTTCAGAAACTTTTTGTTGCAAAATAAACACCGACACTTGCTAAAAATGGTGAAAATTTAATAATCGCCCACCTCGAATAAGCGCTCACTCTCAAGGTCCAAAAATTTAATAAGCGAGCAGGACTGTTAATCGAATAAATATGCGGTATGTGACTGAGGGTGCCATTTGTGAAGTGCAGGATTTTAGAATGAAGGGTGCGATACTGTCAGGCCCAGGGGTTTTGTTAGGATTACGTTTTTGCATAGTGGTCTTGACTTCGTTTAAGTAAGTAGGTAAGGTGTGGCTGCTATGAAAAATAAACCAAAAAAACATAAAGATTACAAAATGATTGTTGTTCGTCACGTTTGTTCATTCCCAGAGGCTCGATGGTTTTGGCTTTATGTCTGAGGTGCGGCTCACGTGCTTTCCTAAGACAATCGCTTTCATACCTACTAACACTTAGAGGTATGGCTTAGCAGCCACACCTTACCACGTCATACCATGTAACTTCCGTTTATTATTTTATAGTGGTATATATTCCGTCTCAGTTCGTGGTTTTTTCTAATAAACCTGATGAAAACTGGTATTTGCCAGTAAAAATATTGTATTCTTGGCTTGCACGTGACGTCACCAATTTCTACTTTCACGGGCTATTACAGTACCTATACACCTTTACATAAAAAAATTGAAATTTTTGGTTCGAAAGGGTTCTTTGTTTTGCGAGAGAGGACGCTTGAATTTCCAGACTTTTGCGTGACGCGGCATTTAGCTGGCGGCCGGGAAAGCTCTTATGTGGGTTAAAAACATTATTGATTTTGGGAGATTTTGCAATCTAAACATTCCTTGTCTCAGAATAAATATTACTGTAATCTTTATGAGTTCCTCAAGCGAAGAATTCACTCGTTAGTAGGAAAACTCGAAAACAGATGTTTCTGTCGGTATCCGGCGGCCATATTGGTGTTCCTGAAAGGGACACCAACATGGCGTTTCCATACAAAGCTTTATAAATTTTGGTAAACCGTTTTTCCCAATATCTCGCAATTGAAATGTTTCACAGACCTGATTCTTGGCAAGAGTTTTTGTATATTTATCTTTTTTCATTTCCCAGATTCTAGCCCTTCTGTATTGAATGGTTTGCATTTTTATTTTTCATTGCGTGACAGTGCAAGCCGAGAATACCTCAGCCTTTTCACGTTGTTTGATCAGTCTTTGCAAAAGTCTTTTTTACTTTAAGTCTATTTTTATCTTTTTCTGACTGATCACGATCTTGTTTGATCCAAAGTTGAGCTACATTGATCGGTCACGGTTTTTGCAGTGGTTTTTCAAGCCTTAGTTTACATTATAACAAAAGTGTTCAACTCCCACAGGATTTTCTTGGTGCACCAACATGGCCGTTTTTTCATTGTTTTGAAACACTAATATGGCCGCCGTGACGTCATGTGACTGAACGCTCTATATTATGAACCTAAGATTTGCAAGTCGTTTTCTTTCGCTCGGAACAAGAGGTTTAATAGACTTTAATTCAAACTCTTGTCTTCAGAAGACCACAGGCGTTTTTCCCTTTTCGTGGCTTAGCCGCCATCGCGACAATTTAACTGAGTGTTGTAAAATACTGAGAACCATGCAATCACAATAGAGACTGCCAATTCAAAGAACCCCTCAGAAACAATTACTTAAGTGAGTAAAGGTGGATTTCTACTGTCGCATAATTTTTACGTAAGTAACGTAAGCACGTAAATTTTTGCGCGCGTAAATAAAACAGAGGCATTGCATGGAAGGTCGCGCAGAAACGTAAAAGTTGAACTTCGCTCGCCTTTTATAAATTACGTTTACGCGTGGCTTTCATATGATTGTCTATACTTTATTTACGCCCGGTAAAAAGTACGCGACAGAAGAAATCTACTCGGCTGAACGCTCAATTTTTGCGATTACACTAGAACTGTCACAAGTCGCCTTCATTTTATTTTCCGGCATGTAAAGCCTGATATTAAAAGGAGCTGCCGCCAAACTGAGTGAAACATAAAAAAAAGCGCTCAAAACATTAAAAGAAGGCCTAAATAACACAGGAAATACAAAAAGAGGGACAGATAGAAAAACTCGGAAGAAGATTAAAACGGATTACAATTGTGGTTAAGTTTTGAAAACCTCTTAGCCCAATTTTTTTTTTCAAAGCTCATTTTTGTTGAATGTAACATTTGATATAATACTGATGGACGTCTTTGTTTGACATGAAGCAGTGATTTTGTCATTCACAAGTAATTTTTCAAGTTCCATAGCGAATAGAGACGTGTAATTGACGTAATTAATATTATTAACAAAATGAACTAGGCACCAGTGACACATCAACCTCTTTAAGCCACCTTAAAGGGACAGTGTCCCGCTTATGCGCACGCGCGAGCGTCATCTGTTTTTTCTTCAAAAGACAATAGAACTGTCAAATTGACTCGACAAGATTTCCTTCCGGACCGCACCGCCGACAGAGATTTGTTGTTTATATTCTCAAGTAATATTTTAGACTTTCGAAGACGTCTTTCGTCTTATATAAAAATTTGGCTCGCGGTTCGAAGACTCATCGCGATTTTATCGCTAGCTGGGCCGCCTCGCGACCCGAAAATCTCGTTCCGCTCGCTTTAAAAACATATTTTCTAATTTGAAACTCGTGTCAGAGGTCAATCGCTCGAAGTCCAGTAATATCTGCCTGATTTGCTCGCGTTCTAGCCTCAAACGTTTGAAAGACATAAATAAAAATGCAATCTCAACGCTATGAATCATCACAAAGGTCAGTCAAGAACGATATTATGATTCATGTCACCAGTTTTTCAAAACGTGTAGCGCCTGTTTGGTCGATTTTGTCGGCCGTACGGAGATTCATTTAAAAGTTTACTAACGCGTCGTTACAAAACATTCTACTTCACGAAGCTACCCTCCACAAGATCTCCTCAGTCACATCAATGTCTCAACGGTTTCTTTCTTACAGTCTTTATTGTTACTGTTTCATTTCTGCGTATTCCTTTCACAATTATCTGAGCTTGTATGGAAGCTAGCAGAAGAAGTAAGCCTTCAATCGGCATCAAAAGTGCTTCCAATCTTTTGGTCCTCCGGCAAACGGCAATGAAAGTAACGCCAAAAAATCCAGATTTTGCCCAAATCGAATCTTAACAGGAACAATATATCATTGATCTATAATCCTGAGAAGTTTTAGTGTCGTATTGAACCCGACCAAGCGCGATGCAAACGGATTTTTCAAGATTATCTTACTCTCCTCGCATCTTTTGATTTCGCGACATCCTGTTCAAAAATCAAAGTTTGGTGCATGCGCAGTAACGGGATACTGTTCCTTTAAGTCATGATTGGTCTTGGTCTAACTTCTGAGATACTTCTCAGTCATTAAGAGTATTCAGAAACTCATTTTCCGGTGTAATGCACAACCAAACGAAATTACTCTCGGTATAGCACTTCTTTCGGCGCCTAATTAAGCACATTAAGAAAATAACTGAACATTGCTCAGAAAGTGTTTCGCTCAGAAAGACACCGCCAATACTGCAATCAGTGCTAGAACACGCGGTGTGCTGTTACAAGGCTTTCGAGGGCTGGTTAGAAATGCCAAACAAACAAAGAAAGTTAAAAATGAAACCCACATAATCTTGGACAAAATAAAGTGTAATATCAAATCCCCTTAACCCCAGAATCAAGGATGACTGAAGTCGCTGGAGATTCAAAACTGAGCCATTTTCGCACCTTTGGTTTGGAGGAAAAAAGGTTATGAGATTGTAGCTTCAAAAATAATAATACGGTCCAAAGAAGTACAGGGTTTTGCAGAAAAGCTGCGGTAATCATGCATGCGAGGGGTGAAGCGTTATCCTTGAAACACCGCTACAGGCGGATATATACCCCTTTCAGTTAAGAAACAATTGTGCCATCAAAAAAGCAATTTTTATACTGTCTATACTGTGATATAGATTTTCTGATTACAGCTCATATAGCGGTATAAGACAAAGAGAATTCGGTACAGACAGTCAAGTGTCTGAATGAGAAAGGAAAATCGTAAATGAAAGCTTTTAGTTTCAGGCGTGAAAATCGCGTAAACGCGTCTGATTTTTAAGGGATTTTGGCCCTGCTAAAATTTACCCTTTTTTGTGAGCTGAAGCGTTGGGATTTACCTAGAAAAGACGCATTCAAAAGTACTGACAACACCCAGTAGCTCATTAATTCTTTCGGGATACGAGGCGGTATACAGTCAGGCCCAGGGGATTTATTTAAGTACAAAGGTTCACCGACATTTTGACTGCCGCGCGGGAGTAGCCTTTGAGGGGAGGAATAAGAACGAGAATATATGCCATAGTTCATTTTGTAAAACTCACGTTAAGAATATTCTCAATTTGCAAAGGAGTTTACTGTAAAGATACTGATAACGACAATGATTGTTTCAGTTCGCGAACAATGACACATAACAGTTTGTGATTCGCTTTTGGCCAATTCAATCGTTTGTTATTTTTTCTGACCAATCAAATTTCGCTTCTCGCAACCGACGGACCAATCAGATGTTTCCCTTTTTTACAGTAAAGGAGAGTTAAGGCGTCACTTAAAGCCACAAACAAAACACTTTCATCAACTGTCGCGTGGAGCCGAACGCTGCAAGAAACATGGTTCGTTTAAACATGAAAGACGAAATAGAAAGAAAAACTCCACCGATAAACAATGGCTGTTTAAACGGGGACAAGAAGAAAACCCATTACAGGATTGGAGACCAAGCCGCTCGCTCAGAAATGAGGTCATTGCAGTTTTCGCTTCATGGGCGCAATCCGAACACAGAAATTGCGAGCAGCATCCAGTTGGCCCGACGAATCCGAGGGGTACAAACATGAAACAATAGACTCAAGAATGATCCAGGACTTATGGATTGGATTACACTCAAGCAGTAGATAATGTGAGCCGGATGATTTAAAGACCGATTTTTTCCCCGAGGAAGAGATTTGCTGGCGAAAAGTTTATCGATTGTGAGATTGCTAACTGTTACATCTACGCCGATCTTATTGACTTGCTGATTCAAGTTTGAAGTTTATGTTATAAGACAAAATCCCAGAACACTGAACAAATAGCTTGACATTTCGCTCAAGAGTTTCACATACCATATGGAAAGAGTTGAACTCAAAACGCAAGCACCATGTATCGCGCTTTTTCACGACTTTTCATTGTTTGGGCAATTTTCAAAGTCTTTGTTTCAAACCTAATGTGACGCTAATCAATCAGAAAGCTTTCTTTGCATTTCATTTTCCTGTTTTAAGATGTCTTGTTCGAGATAATGTTGAATAAAATTTCTTTCATACACACACTGAGTTGATCCTTTTGTTGTTGAGAAAGATAAAATTATATTCTGGGAATAAATATTTTACACTAAGCACCATGGCCAGATACTTGAGGATAGGTTTCATACATTCTTAGCAACAATTGTTAAGTATCGCATTCCCGTAGGCAACAACATTTCAATGTCTGTTGCTAAAATAAAACCACTCCAAGACAGCGGCAGTTTTTTAGGGGTAAAAAAATAAAACTATTCAATACAGAACACCAACAAATCTGCCTAGAAGTCAGGCGTAAACTGTTTATAAAGAAGCTATTTTGTTTGTTTTTAATTCTAAAGGGAATTTTAACAAGGTCTTCTTCCTGACTATTACAAACGAAACAGTCTAACTCTACATCGAGCAGTTTTAAAAAATTGTATTTTTACTATCTAAGCAAATATTACAAGTGAAATTAAGGGCGAAGCTCCATGCAAAAGCAAGCAACCTTGACTGATTTCAATGGCCCTAGGTGTCCTAGCAACGAAACGAAGAAAAATTCTTTTAAAATCGGCGCGAACAACGCTTTTGAAAATGAGCGAACGATTCTCTGTAAAGTGACAGGCGCGGAAAGAACCAGGCTCTGGCGCGGGTAAACAAACATTAAAGACAATCGATCCATTTACCGGCGGGAAAATCAACAGTGTCCGCCAAGCGCGGGTGATACGCATGACACAAGCCGCGGTTGCTTGTAGCTGGTGCATCCAAATGATGAAGAAAATAAACAAACTCACTACGTCTGTAGTAACATGGTGTCAAGAACTTAATTAAAATTTATTTTGCCACCCTTAATAAATGACATATCTTGACTAATTTTGTATTTTACATTTAGCGATTGCAATCTCCTTGTTCCACAATCGACGGAATCAGTGCATGGTTGTCAGAAAAACCAGTCACACAATCGCACGATCCTTGGCGAGGATATCATAAACTGTACGCTTTCTCTCTAAGTCGTAAGCTTAGCTCAGGTTACCTAGCAACCAATTAAACGAAAAGCGTGGAATTCACACCTCAAACCTTTCGGGTTCGAGTTTCGAGACCAAAAGCTTTACTCTCCGATTGAGTTAATAACTTCTTTTTTCTATTTGGGCGTGTTTGATGAAAATACTGCGACGGAGTGTAACCGATATGAGCCATAATCTTCTAGCAAATCTTCCTTGTACTTCTTGAATTCATCGTATTTCATCAAGACGCTACAAAGAGAAAATGCAGGCGATCAATAGAATCGAAGGCATTAAAATCATCATCAACAACAACTCTTCATTACAAAATTCTCCCTGCAATTTCACACACGGAACCCCTGGGTACTGCACAAACAGTGTCTTATTGGCTGTTTACATGGAGGAATGAAGATCCTAGAAGGAGGATCACCCGACTATTGTCCTAGCGCAATATGTTTTCTGTATTCGGTTTACATGCAAAGGGTTTTACTTGTCGCTAGTACTAGGAAGATCCTAGCACCATATAAACTGCCTTCGCTAGAAAGATCTTAGTACTTGGGACAAACAAGACAAACATGGTGGCGGGTCGTTTATTGGCTAAAAACGGCCGGCCATTTCGTTTGGCGTTGGCACGAGCTGATAATTGTGATATTTCTTCTGAAAGGTAGTTATTAACGCCAGTAAAGAGAGCAGAAGGGCCCAAATTTCACTTCTGTTTTTGTCGCCCGCCATTTCTAATTCTTTCTCCAACCTTCTCTTCTGGGACATTACACGGACCGAAATTTCCGCATGTAAACCCTTCCTCCCTTCATGTAAACAACCCTTAACCTCCTGTAAGTGGGTACCGTTGAGATCAGAAATAATTGCTTCCAGCTCGCGCTCTGCTCTCATTCCCACCACCCCACCTCTTGGGCTTCTCGCTTGTCTCCAAAAAAAAAATTGTCGTGAACTCACCAAACGGATCAGAACCAAAAGGATTGCTGAAAGGGTCCTTTGCAGAAGAGCTCAAGTCTTTGCTGTCTGTGGTTTTCTTAGAATCTGAACTACTTCCAGATGGTTTGAAGGGATCTGAGCTAAAGAAGTTATCTGTCGAACTCTGTAAGAGACGTAAAGAGGTAAAAAATTCCTTTAAAAGGTTGTAACAAATTCACCGCATCGAAATTTCATCAGCACGCCTTTTTTTGATATCAAGAACGCCTTCGAGATTTAATAAATCCTGGCCTTCTTAACGGTTAAGTGTGAAGAAAATCACTTTGGGGCCGTTTAAACGAGGAAAAATAAGACGCGTCTTACATAGGACGTGACTGTCCTAAATAAGACTCAAACTATCCCGTATAAAGGGGACATTTCGTGTGAAATTTAGCAAAGACGCTTCTTATCTAAGAACAGCCCCTACCTGTTCTTCGATAAGACGCGTCTATGCTAAGTCGCGGCTTAATGTGCCGTTTATACGAGATAGTTTGCGTCTTATTTAGGACTCGTCTCATGAAAGACGCGTCTTATTTTTCCTCGTATAAATAGCCCTATTACGTCGACTGCAAATGTGAAATCAAATAGAAAAACGGAGAGCGCTGCTCTGCCAATGAACTTTGAAAGTGAAGAATGATCATCGCAGTAAATTTCCAATTTGGATGAAAGTGAAGAATGATCATCGCACTTACCTTGCTACTCGGGAATGTACTTTGAAATGGATCCATAGCAAAAGGATCTGATTTCGAAGGTGAAGCGGATAATCCTACAGATAAGAAAAAATAAGTACACATCACATACTGATTTTCTCAAAGCCCTTTACGAAATAGCGTAGTGAAAACAAAACGAAAGCAATTTCATCTGGCCAATCATAAAACGAGCAAACAATCAAATAAACCAATCAAAACTCGCGACAGATACAATAAACAGGAGCTAAGCCCGGGAGGCACGTGCGCATGAGTGAGAATGTCACATGTAGTTTTGGTTTAACTTCTGACTGGTCTAGAAAGTAGCGCGTGATTTTTCAGCCAATCATAAGTCAACTGTGTGTGGAAAAAGGAAAAGTGCGCAAGCACGATGATTAAAAAGCATATCAAGGCAAAAGTAAAGCAGCCAAGATTTACCGCGTCTGAAACTCGAGACTTACCGTTCGATATTCCTGTTGCAGTGCCGTTAGCCTCGCCACTTGCTGGTAAGTCGCTTTTAAAGGGGTCACTCTTGAACAAATCTTCACCCTGACAAACGAATACGAAAACTTAATATGTACACTTTTTGCGTCCTTTAATGAAAACAAATTAGACTACTAGAATTTGGAATAACATTCCCGACGTGACTTCCACAACAATAGTGTAGAAGCAAACCATGCCGCTGCATTGAAGTTCGAAGAGCTAGCGTACTGTAGGGAAGAATGTTTTTGCACGACCAGCGGTCAAACGGTCAAAATGGCGTCAAATTTTGTTACTCTTTTGTCATCATAATAATTGGCCATAAATGCATCGTTTCATCGTTTCATCGTTTTCGAGGTAAAAGCTCCTACGAATTTTGCAGACGTAAGCGAGGCAAAGAGGGCTAATTAACATAAGAATAAAAAAGGTAGTTTTGGAGTAAGGTGTTTAGCTGGGAAAATGTTTTGGATAAAACTATTGAAATCAGCCATGTTACTAGTTTCTCACCTCAAAAGGATCCGCTGTAAACGGATCTGCGAAAGAGACGCTTTTATAATGAAATGGGTCTGTCTTGAAGGGATCGTCCACGTGAAAGGGGTCGTTAGATTCTGAAATAGAAGAGACAGTTCATGCTTATTCGCTTTTACTTTCAGTAACAAATGAATATAACGTCAGAGCTTGCATACCTTGTCAAGGAGCGATTTTTCTCACGATTTTTAATGATTAGGAAGTGACCAAAACACTTCCATGCAAGGAGGGAACTCTCATGTTGGCGTTTGAGAATATTGGCTTATGATTTGCAAATATCGATTTCGAGACAAACACGAATTTGTGAATGACCGCCAGCCATTTAACTAGTTTATCAAAACAAGTGAACAAACAATTTTCATAGCTCAGGGAAAAGAAGCAAACGCGGGAAGCGACACGCTTGGGTTCTGTCCTCTTTGACGTCATCCGCTTTTCGGCAATCTGAAAGGTCAATCCAGCACGGCATTTTCCATATTACGGTTGCTTTTAGTGAGAAAACACTGGAGGATGAACACTGATATTGAGACTCTCGGGAGAAACGATTTTAAGGACAACTGGATAGGACTCTAAGACATTACAATGGCTTAGAAAAAAAAAAACCGTCAATCATTGAAAACCATGGCGCACATTGGAGCTTACCTGCTTCTGAGGAACTAAATAAATTTTCTTTACTCTTGAAGGGATCTGAATCCTAAAAGAGAAAAGATTTAACTTTGTTTCATTTGCTCGTTAAGTCTTAGCTAATCAGGAGAAAGAATAGTCCAGTTTCGAATTGAAAATTACCGCTGAATAAACATTAACGACACATTCATACAGGGTTAGCCTCGACGTAAAGTAAAATATTCAGAAATTCTGGCAAGCAAGTGTTTGAAATTTGAATATACACAAAAGACAGAGTAATAACAGGTCTTTTTCTCGTTGGAATTTGTGAATATATTACTTCAGATTGAGGCTAAGGCTGTAAAAAATGCGTTTTCACTTCTTAAATTCAGCGGTCATAGCGAACTCGAAAATGGACCATTCAAAACAGCACTGTAGAACTAAATATACCTTAAAATCGTCCACAGCTTCATCAACTCGACCAGATCCAACACTAAAACCACTAATACTACTAACGGGACTGCTTCCTGCCTACAGAAAAGCAAACAAAGAAAAATTTAAGACACCACCTTTTTTATCGTTGAGAATGGCTAGCTTTTTTAATGGCTGCTTAGTCAGACACAGTTTAAATTAACCAATCAGAGCAAAAACGGATCTAACGCCAATACTTAATCTTATTCAGTGGCGGACCCAGGGGAGGAGCCCGGGGGGCCCGGGCCTCCCCCTATTTTTAGACCAATCTGAGGCCCGAGGACCGCCCCCCCCCCCTCCGCCTTACGTCAGGGTCTAGATGATCGCCCCTCCCCCTCCCCCTTATCTAAAGGTCTGCATCCCCCACTGGTATTATTCCGCCAATAGAAGAGGTTTCATTTTCTCCTTTCAGAAAGCTTGGTTTTCTTTATTACTCAGCGTAGTCTATCGAAATGAAATACTGCTGCCCTTTTCTACATGCGTTGAACGAAACTGTAGTTCATTCTCGTAGCTTACCGTCGCTCTAACGCTCATAGCGTCCGCTTCAGAAGGAGTCGGTGTCATATCAAAGGCATCATGAAGTGGCGTAAAATCAGGAATAGGGGCGGGACCACTGGCCACGCTATTTGAGTTCATCAGAGAGTTGTAATGCGCAATATTGGCGTTTAGACTATTGTTCGTTTCTTCCAGCGTTGACACCTTTGATCTAACCTACAAAACGAATTGACACTATCAACAATAGATAAGGAACAAAAATTTACAATCAGGCGAGAGTGACTTCATGGAGAGAAACGTTTGTATTCAGGACTGTCGCGAAATGAGTGTGATTATATGGATTATTATACTACTACATGAGAAATTTCTGCAATTTGATTGGCTTAGAGCAGTGGTATTTCAGGTTAATTTGAAATACCTACATGTGAAAATTACAAACCTTTTGCTGGTAGTAGTATAAACAAATAATAGCATGGTTTGTATATGACATTTGGCATAAATACCACTCGTGATATTTCAAAATTGTCCCAAATTTCACTCGCATAACGGCTCGTGAAATTATGTGTAACAATTTCGAAAAATCACTCGTGGTATTTATGCCAAATATCACTACAAATCATGCTATTACCCATAAAAATAACAGAGACAAACACTACAGAAGCAAAGAAAAGCATTTTGTCTCCAGAAAATGTTCCCTCAAAACAATGCTTAAAAACAAACTCATAACAAAGCCACTTAGAACAAATCCTTTGAATTATTTCTTAAAGTTCGATTTACAAACTGCTGACAAACACCATTATTATAGTTTCCTTTTTTTTTGTAATCTTACATCTGCGTTGTGCAAATGCAAGATAATCTCTTTCCAAATACTAGTGCCTGTAACTCCTACATGACAGTTAGTCTTTCAACAAAAGCTGTGACTTCTGCCAGTAACTGAACGAGTCAATAACTGGAGTGAAACGAATTGTTCCTGAACCAAGTACTGATCTACTTGAAGTAATGATTTTGTTGATAAGCAGGTTATCTCTGGTCTCCTTCGCGACCGCTCAGGAGGGAGTCACGCAAAGCTCCGGGGAGAATGCGTGACTCCGGCTCGAGCGGCTGCAAAGGAGCCTGGGGTACCTCTACTTCAACCAGAGAGGTTTAATTCCACATGTACACATCTCCCACCTAAAATTGCCCTGTTGTGATCGTTACCTGTGATAACTCTGTCTGAACAGATTTGATTTGTTTTTGTACAGCCTCCAAATGTTCTTTACTTGATTCGATCTGTTAAAAAATAACAAGGCATACAATTTCGGTTTAAGTTACTGCGTCAGTCATTTCCTTTTAAGAAATAATAGTTTATAAAGGAATTTGTAGAAGAGAGAAGAAGATAGCACCTTCTCCCAAAGTGACGAGAATAAAAAGAAGAAAACGGAAAGAAAGAAAAAGAAAACAGAGCATTTCCCCTCATTTTATAAGGTCATTATTTCTTACTTCTCGTTCAAGCTTCGTTTCATCTTCTCTCAACTTGTTTAATTCGTCTCTTGCTTGACTTAATTCTTCCTCTTGGTGCTTGAAAATAAGAAAAAAAAGGAAAATTTTTACTAAAAAAAATAATTTTCGATCGCTAGAAACATTTTTTCCCCTAGAGAGTGGGGCGATTCTACTTACCAGGGCGGACTGTCTTGAAGAGGCAATTTGCGCTTGTAAGCTGTTTATCTAACAAGAAAAACAGAAAAAATTCACTTTATCGAATTTTGTTTGGAAATAGAACTGTTTTCTTCTGACAGCTCTTTAAGCCATAAACTTCCAGCTGTTTAGTTGTTATTCACTACCTAGTTGCGTGGAAGAGGTTCGAAGGCGTGAGACGGGGAGGAGAAAATCAGATGCGAGAAAACACGAAGGACGCGCGTGAAAACGAATGGTGCATAACACACAGGTGAATCATTGTGGCGACCGTGAATGCCATGAAACAACCCTGAACTTGAATAGTCAGTCAGACTCACGCCCAAAACACTATCCATTCCTGATATTTGTTATTTTCCTTTTGTCCTATGATGTCTTTTGTGCAAAAAAAAAACAAACAAAACAACAGCAACAGCAACAACAACAACAACAACAAAAAGGTAAAGGGAAGGCTCGTATCAAAGGAAAATACTCACAGTTTTTGTTTCTTCGTCACATTTTTGTTTAGCATCCTTCAGCATCTCTTCATATTTCGCTTTCTGGGAATAAAAGAACAACACCCATTACTCTCCTGCACCGTTCATACCACAATTATACGTTTTTGACTGCAAATAAATCGTTTTGCACTCTCTCTTAATTATATTCCCTGCTAGAAATGCGCATGGCGCCAAAAGCGAGGATTGTCGCATGCGAGGTGCGTGAGCTTCAAACATCCGTCAGGACACAACACATCAGCAGAAAAAAACATCTTTCATTCTAACCTCCTTATCCAACTCATCAAGTTTGCTCTGAGCGTCCGCCTTCTGTTTCTCTAATTCTTGGTACTTTACTTTGGTTTTCTCCAGCTCAGTTTGTAGATTCTGTGTCCAAATAAACAACAGATAAAGTAAGTTTTCTGCATATCCATGCACCATTCTCTCTTGGTACAACCTTGTCTTTCCTTTCCTTTCTTTCTAAGTCCTTAGACAGTTAAAAATTAAGTATGTATGGTTTTAACGTCTATCATGATGCTGCTGATGACGATGAGGTCTCTTTACCGCGGCAGGATTAGCTCAGTCGGTAGAGCCGCTGAGCGGAAGGTCGCGGGTTCGATTTCCGAGGCCGAGCCAACAGTCAGGGTCTTAAAATAACTGAGAAATGAAGGTACTGCCTTTGCCCTGCAAACGGCTAGACCTTCGCATGGCTCGGATGACTTCGTAAAATGGCGGTCCTGTCTCTAGAAGGAGAAGTAAAACTAGTGTACTCAATTAGCACTTCCGTGCTAACTATATTGACACTCAAATGAAGTACAGTTTTGTATGATGATGATGATTGTCATTGTCACTGTACTTCTCCTCCTCCTTGTCCCCTCTGCAACCCATTTTTACCATATTCATCAATGCCATAGTCATCGACATCATCATCATTAGGGCTATTCATACAAGGAAAAATAAGACGCGTCTTACATAGAACGCGAACTTTCCGAATGAACGGCACATTTCGTCGAAAATAAGACGCGACTTAGCTGAGACGCGTCTTATAAAACGCGTCTTAGCTAAGACGAGAAAAACTTCGAATAAATGACCTTCGCGTCTTACATAAGACGCGAACGCATAGTACGCATGCGTTAAGTTTTGGCGCGCCATGTTGGACTGCCGTTGCTACGGGCAATATTCACATGAAAACGAGTCAAGAACAGAAATAAGACGATTTATACGAGCTGTTCTCGTCTTAGATAAGACATGCTCGTGTAATTGTACAGTTCGCGTCTTATTTTTCTTCGTATAAATGGCACCATTATGTCTCTCTACGCTAGAAGGCACTTAAGGACATGTTGTAACATCGACGTGTGTGCAAAATGTTCACAAGATGGTTCTACTGTGTACGGGAGTTCAATGGAGACTACTTAGTGAGTAAATGGATACATTAAGAAACCCCATTTTTGGCAAGATGTCTTAAAAAGGAAAAGTTTGCAGCAACCGTTATAAATGGAGAACGGTCACGAGATCGCTTTGCAGTAAACAACAACAACAACAACAAAACTTTATTGGTAATGGTACAGTTTACCGTGAATGATGTTTTACGCCACTAATGTTGCATCAATATCGAGCTATACCTGTATTTCTCCATTTCTTTGTCTAATCATGTCCTCTTTTTCTTCTATTTCACGCTGTAGATTGGCTTTTTCTCTGTTAAAGAAATAACATGCACATAGAACAGTTTAGTATTAATTTTGATCATTTGCTAAACCACAGAAACAAAACTTATAACTTGCCTCCCTAATTCTTCAATTTCTTTGCTTATTTTATCAAGCTCTTTGATGGCGCTAAAATCATTCAGGCTTGAAACAACGCTTCCAGCAGCTGTCCCGTCCTGCTAAAAGGAAACCACAACAAGCCTATTTAATATTTATTCAAAGTTACAGTCTAAAACTTGTATCAACCTTTTGTCTTTTACCCACAAAACTGAGTTTATGTTGATGACGTCAATTACGTAAACAAGGCAAACGCACCATGAGGCGTCTGTAAAGCTTAACACGGTTAGCAATGGATCCCATTGGCCTAAAACCTCTTGGACACCTTAAGAAGCATACACATTCTTCTGGCTTTGGTTTCCCTTGTGCTGTAGATAAATAGTGTAGAAGCAATGAGAAATACTACGTTATGTAAACTTCGAAAGGTATCCAAAGGGTTTCGGGCCGATGGAATCCAATGCTAACCGCTCAACACGGCACTCGGCAACATTTTGCATCGATTCGTTGCTGGGACCCATGGCCGGCTACAGTAGTTCCCTCGCCTGATCAAACCATAGATACTGTTGTGGTGACGAAGATTTGGTTGCAGTGACATACCACATAAATCTACGCTGGAATAATTTTGTGCAATGAGTCGCAGAGACAAAGTAACCCACCGTGTGTGCGCTTGATACGATCTGTCCCCACTACAAAATCAAAACCGACCAATGAGAGAGCATCATTCATGACCCTTGATTCTCGTGACCCGCCGCAGTGTCAGTACACACGACAAGGTTTTCCTGATGACTTGTCGTCGCAGCACGCCGCCGATCCCCGCCCATACCTGGTGATTCGTTTCCCATTCCACACCCCTCCCCAGATTAACACTAACATCTTACAGTAACACCTACCCTGTCCTCCCCTGTGGCCGTGGGCGTGGAAGCACTTCCATTTCTCATTGAGGGCGGTACCATCTCTGCACTAAGAGTCTGTGGTGGATCGACTCCCATGACTTTTTGATGAATAAGGTACATGGCCAACGAAAACTGTTCAGAATTCAAACGTCCTTGGTTTGTCACGTCACAGAGCCCCCTTAAACAGAGATTAAAGTAATTAGGTGGAGTACGATCGTCCGTGTGAGCGTAGTCCTGAATTGGACTGATGTTGACAGTGACTGACGTTTCGACAACCTGTGCGGTAGTCATCTTCAGAGTCACTTTGACTTGGAAGACGACTATAGCACATGTACTTCCGAAATGAATCCTAGGTTCAAACCTTTCACATAGATTAAAGTGTTAATTACGTATTTCAGTAGTTTTGGGTCACAATAGGCCCTTTTCGAGTTCCAAAACCCCTCAGAAATCTTTCCCTCAAAATCTTTCATGTGACGTTGCCTTGAATGAGAAAAGAAATCATTTTCATAACAGAATATGCATTAGCCCTCGTTTTGAAAAGAGGGTTAAGGTACAGAAATGGTCTATTATATCACGATATTTTCAGTTACACTAAACAGGAAGAATGTAGAGACGTAATCCTGGCAAAATTCAAGGGAAAACTGTTTACCAGCATTTCCCCACAGTACTCCTCACTATGGCATAAAACGTGGTTCTAACTGTTCAGTTTATGAATGAAACTAGAATTGGGAGTCTGGGCAAAGTAAAGGTGTTTTCAAACATTGTAATTGACAATAGAAAATTGAAAAGAGAGCCACCCGGCTTTAAACAGCATAGCTTCTCAAAACGCGCAAAAGCGACAAAAACCTGGATTCTTGCATGGGAAACTCCTGAACGTGGCAGTAGGATGCACAACTCGTCCCCAGGGCGCTTTTCACTGGCTTTGGAGGTGTGATCCCACCTCCAAGGCCAAAGCCAGGGAAAGCGCCCTGGAGACGAGGTTGTAGGACGAACAATGACCACCTGCAGCATTTTTAGGGCTAACGTTAGGTTTGATTGTTTGCAGTTTAGCAGAGAACAAAAAAGGAAGACAACTATCTTACCAGATGTGAGCAAGCACTTGTTGCGGAAGTCCGGATGCCATAAATATGTTTTTAACTTCCTCTCCTGTAAGTCAACAAAGAAGGAAAATTGGGGTGTTTCTTGGTGTAATTTGCGGAAACTAATGTTTGTTAGCTATGATGTTGTGACGTGGAACTGGCTATTGGTCTGAGTCTTTTAAGTCCCCTGTATTACGTTACTTGTTAAGGCCTATCATCAGTAACATTAAACAAACTAACAAAAATTTGCTACTATAACGACGGTCTTCTCTTTGAGGTGGAAAAATCAAGTTCTCAAAATTATGAATACTATGAAGACCTAGTGAAAACCAGATTGTCAGAGACAGAAGCAGAAGCAGAAGGACAAACTGATCACAAGGCTCGCCCCTACGAGTTGTGATTGGCTTAATCTGCCCCTTTTGTTTGGGCCTTTGACTACCTCCAGTTTTCACAAGATCCTGAACTGCGGAGTCGTAACTGGAAGCGGAGAACCGCTTTGAATGGATCATGACGTTTATCGCCTCTGATTACGACTCCGGCTCTTCGTTGTTAGACTTTCTTAGGGTTTCGTCAAGCATTCCTTGGAGGATTGCGTGACGAGCCAAAAGAACAGGGAGTTTTAGCATCGACGACGACGACGGCAGCGAAAACGTCACTTTTAAAATGAATTAGCGTTTTTTTTAAAATTCCAATTCGTTGCAAATGTCTAATGTAGGCAAATTTCACTAAAGTTTATATCTTGGGGACTGCACTCAAGGTCAGAAAAAGAACGAAAATTTCGTCGTCGCTTGTGTACGTCCTCCTACAAAAAAGCGTGATGCACGTGCAAACTTTTATTGGTCTTCCAAAACAATGAAACGGCGGCCATGTTGGTGTACCAAGACAACCCTGTGGGAATTGAACTCTTTTATTATGTAAAAACTTTCTTTTGTCCGTATAAATTAGCATAGATGCTGGCCACCTGAGTGAATAAGCTCTATTGTTTTCTGACGTTATCCCGACCGTCGTCGTCATCTTTGCTAAAACTCCCTAACGTCCTGTGTGGGAGTCTACTCATACGCTAATGAGACTAATGAAAACCAGCCCTTAAGTATTGATCCATGTATACTGTTCTCAGGTCATTTCACGGTCCTTATGCATTGGCATTCCCTGACCCTTTGACGTCATAGTTTTGCAACGCTGCCCGCTAACAGATTTTTGGCGGGAAAAAGTTTTATTTTTAGATGTCATGTGAGCTCGAAGTAACCAATGAGAGAGCATTCTGTTTGGGAAAAAAATGAACTATACAACAATTTCTTTTACCAGAAACAAGTCCATCAGCATCCTTATCAGCCTGCTTGAACATGGTGTCATACCGTGACTTGTCACTACTTGTTACCACCCACGGAACTTCTTGAGAGGTCTGCAAAGTATACAGCAAGTCTGACTGGTACGTCTGAACTCTTTAGGTAACAATGAACCATTGACATGTTAAACTAAAAATGGCCACGTATCACGTGTCTTCTTCCTCGTGCATTTGCCTCGCTCGTTCGCTCGCACGAGGGACTGCAATCAGTCTATAGCTTCAGCTTCTTTATGTTTTTTACAGAGACAGCTTACACCACTAAAAAACACACTCCTAACTTTGTTAATCGTTGCTAACCATATGATACACCATAAACTGTTGCTTACATGCCCTGGGTTTAGCTTTGTAAGGGTTTTAGAGGGCTTATAAACGAAGGGGCTACTATCCAGGGGAACTTATAACCAGAATAGAAAAAATGCTTCAAAACAAGCTATAGCAGCGCTGATCAAAATTCGTTATGCATTTACTGTTTGTTTTAATTACATGTAAGCTTTAAAGCGTCATAATAAATCAAATTAATTCATTTCAATACATTTGGAGGATGTCTTGTATCTGCAGGGCTCATATAATCGCATACATTTTTTTTGCTCACAGCTAGATAGGCCTATAATTAAGACGGCTTGTACGTGGGGGAGCTTATAAGCGTTAGCTTACAGTTGACTGAGATAAAATATTGTCTAACAACTCACTGTAACAGAGAGAACTGAACTACTCATTGAAGGAGGGGTGTGACTCTGGGGAGATGGTGAAGAGGGGGCTGATGATGTCAGCTTTAACTTTCGCTTTGAAGGAGGAATGAGTTTGCCATGGAGTGTCAGTGGTACAGGATCTCCCTCTAAGGCACGGTAAACAAGGTGCATGGCCTGTTACAAACATAAACAAACAAACAAACAAATCAGAAGGAGTACATCCATAAGATGGTGTATTAACACTCTAAAAACTCTCCTTATAGACAACTGATACTCCATAATCAGCGGCAGGTCCAGCCCTTCAGATTGGGGGGGGGGCCTGGTCACCGAGAACCTGAGAAAAGGGGGGGGGCGGTCTTAAACAAATTTTTTTTGGCCCTTCAGGCCCCTCCCCTGGATACGCCACTGATAACATTAATGACATCGCTATGTTGTAGACAGTTAACTAAGTCCCAAGGATCCCAAACAATTCCTAATTTAGCTCTACAATACAAGCATCTCTTTATTGCAAGCGGTTTACTTAGCCCACAGAAGCCTAGAGGAACATGTGACAAAGCGCTTAGAATGAATCTCTTGGTAAGAGGCCAAAAAAACTGAAAGTCATACAATCAATGTGAAAGGCTTTGAACCCAGGATTCATTTCAAAAGTAGGTCGAGTTTGATCGTCCGGGTGAACGTAGTCCTGTATAGGACTGTTGTTGTTGACAGTGACTGACATTTCGACAACCTGTGCAGTAGTCATCTTCAGAGTCAAAGTGAGTTGTATACAATCAATATTCAACGAACACCTCTGTACTTGCAGAGATTTGGCTCTATCCACCTGGCATCTGTATTAAGGAAGTGACACTAGGCTAACCCATCCTATTGTGGACAGCTGATGTTTGAGCAGAAGATAACTCTATAAGATGGACAGTCCTTAACTGAAAAAAACCTGGCTCTGTCCAGCAGTGTTAATGGTAAGATTTGTACTGTTTTAGGTGTGATATACTAGCATATCGTTTAGAGTAGCCTCTTTCATTCTTACCACAGCAAACTCATCATTGTCTAACATGCCATCTTTGTCAATATCAGCCAGCTCCCAGACTCGACCAAGTACATCAATAGGAAGCTTAGAGTTCAGTAACACCTGAAGTTGAACAAAACCACAGAATTATAATATAATCAAGGGCCATAGCAAGCCACTGACTGCCACATACGTAGACAACAGTAATCATTAAGTTCATATAATATATCAAACAGGACAAAGAGTTATTAGGTGTGTTATTCTCAGACAGATGCAGACAGATACATGTTTTACATCTTAAAACACGATTATTGGTGAAACTATATAACATAAATTAGAAACTTCTCACTTACAGGTTTGACTTTGTCGCCTGGGAGAAGTCCATTAACAGGTTTTAGGCCCTAAAATAACATGCCAAATGAAAATAACTTTAGATAATCAATCCTTTCAACTTAAGACCAAGTTACAGTAAAATAATCGGCGGATGAAATCCTATGGTGTTATCATAATCAAATGAAAAATCTTGACAGAACCTTTGCATAGTATTTTTTACTGTTTTTTCTAATTTTAGGGGCTTAGGGGAGGGGTGGGCAGTTTCTCAGAAACTTATAATGATTCAAGTTTTCAGGACAACTGGCTTACCTCAAAAATGTTGTCATACTTTGCCTTTTCAGCAGCTTTTACAGCCCAGAGAGTGCTCTCTTGCGGGGGAGGGACAGCAGGGGGCACAAGTTCCTGGAAAAATTGAAAAAAAAAACCTCAGTAGTAGGACACAATCTTACTGTTTTGTTTTGTTTTCTTTTTATTTAATTCCAAATAATTCCCTTGACACTCTCACGACAGCTAATGTTATGACAGTTTTGCTCTTTGACTGTTTGCCACTGATTGTACATGTATTAAGCCTCCGAGTACATGACAGCTCTTCTCTTGAGGAGTCACTGTTCATATGGTCAACCACTAATTCAAAGCAAATTTATTTTTAAGTCCTCTGGTGAAGGAGCACCTCATCAATTTTTGTAATGGATTTAAAATTCACCGATCAATTTGTAAACCTTGCGTGAGCAACCACTTGACACAAAGTATGATCTTCGCTGGCTACAGATAATTTTATGTTGACAAAAAACTCTAATAAGACAATGCATTTGGCTCTGTATTTCTGAATGTCAATGTTCACTTTACAACTGTATGTGTATGAAAAAAGCCACTTATAAAAGGCACTTTTAGTGGCACTGGCATGGTACTCTTTGTTTGGTTACTGAAATGTATGAAATAAATTCCCTCTGAATAAGCAGAATAATTATTGTCCTAGACCTGTTTATGTCCCTATAGAGACCATATGTATGGAACAATACAAGTAGTGGTACTCTGTACATAAGAAACTATAAATTATATTATTTGTTGCTTCCAGAACATGAAGAGATTGAAAGCTCACTGTATAAAAAAATTAATAGCAAAATGGTTTAACAGCAATATGGTGTCATACAAATCCTGAATAATTTTATCATGCACTTAGCTTACCACTTTAGGTGCAGGAACAAGTAAAGTTAAATTTGATAGGGAGACATCTTTTCCATTCTGTGCCAAAGCAATCAGTCTCAGAGCCAAGAAAAATCTCTGTAAATGAAAAAAGAAAATGGTTATCATTTACAGGATATAATAATAAACTATTTTGCAAGGTTTGTTCCTGCATGTTTATCTGCACTATTTTTAATGATGACAAGTCTGCACTTAGAAGCGGTACTACCCAGTCAAATGTTTTAAAAAAGGATTACACAACAAAGCTCTCCTCATGGACATGTCCACGATAGAAACACTTGTTTACTATGAACAGTTCTCTTGGTTCAAATAAAGATGGTAAACTTCTGGTCATAAACCCCTAAATCTACTTACAGCTCATACACCTTTGTGACATGGAGCCACCAAGGTCTCATTTAGGGTTCCGCCAAGAAACACAGAATTACACAAAGAGAAACAGAAGTCAAATTGTCTTTTTAACTTGTTTTGTTTACCGCATTACCTCAGTGATTATAGATCAAAGATTTCTACAAACAGTAGAGAACATTATAATCCGATTAATCAGTGACAATAAAGGAAGCGTTATTACAAGATGTCTTCGTGCTTTGTCTATTGTTTGTCTATAACAGGAAACTCAGCGGGTTTAGCGCTTACAAAATTACAAAACGATCACGATGATTATGTCTTTACATCATTAAAACTCATTGCATGTCGTATTTGTGTGTTTTTAAGCGGTCTCTTTTAGGGTCAAAATTTCCTCAAGCTACGCCCAGATTGGTCTCCTTTAGGGGTCACAAAGAGCTTGAGCCACGCCCAGATGGTCTCCTTTAGGGGTTAAATTCAAAATTTCCGACGAGCATCCCCGTCTGTTTCATATGGGAGTGCCCCCCCCCTGGGCGTGGACCGTGACTTTGTTTGGCACAGTGTGCAAAGAAAGACTTAATGTCTGATAGCCCAGGGCTATTGGATTTTGCTATCAGGCTAATGAATTCTGTTTTTGACGGGCAAGTGATGTTTTTTGAGCAATTTGAATAACAGAAGAACTGTGAAATCAGTTCTACTCATCAAAAAGCTTTTGGGGCTAGTTGTAATGACGTTTGGGCTAGTAAATGCTAGCTGCAGTTTGCCCGAATGGCAAGCTGTAAAAATGATTTTCTTTGCACCCTGTACATTCTGCATGAGGGAGGTTTATCTCTTTACATGTTATTTCTACATATTTTGTAAGCTATCCCCAGATTTTTCCATAAAATTTGAAAATAATAATAGAAAAAGCTTCCCACGCACATAAATCAATGTCATAACAATAACTAGTTGGCAAGGTGGCTTGTTCCTTTCTTCTTGTATCTATCTAATTTACCTGTTTGTCTAAGAATCCAGTTCCCTGAGGGTCAGCGAGCTCCCAAATCTGTGAGGAAAAGGGATATTGCAACAACACAAATTTATAACTTTTTACTGCCAGTAACTTCCAAAATCTTCACTTATGATAAAAGCAAATTTAAAAGGTAAGCAAACAGATTAATTCAATTCATTGCTTGCAATTAAGTAAGTCTCCTTTCCATCTGTTGTGTGTCTCAGAATTTTGGCTAGATGTTGAACATTCATCCTTTTATGCAACAGCAAGAGAACCAGCTGGTGAAATTCTGGAAAAAATGCTCTACTCACCTTATGTAGAACACCTTCCTTTAAACCAGATTTTTTTAAGAAAGCTGCTGCATCTGAAGCACCAATCTGACCAGTGTTGGAAACATCAGCCTTTTTTTAACCAGAACAAGTCTTGTTAACAATAAATAAATGTGCTAAGCTGTTTAAAACATGCCTGAGATCTGCACTCTGAGAACCTAATAAAAACCTAGCTGATCTACCCTGCTATAAGAAGAAGGCTAGGCCCCTGGGGGGGGGGGGGGAAGCAGCACTAAAGGGAAGTCTGGTCTGGGTAGAGGTGTGTCGTCAATTGAAGTCTTCAAAACCTAACACTGTTTATGACAGAAATTACTCATTTCGCTATCCTGTTTAGGACAAGAGACCTTATTTTAAGATCCTGATTTGTCTCGTTATGCATACAGAATTATGTAATTTACAAAAACTCATTTTAACTAATTTTTTGGAAAAAAATGTTGGTGTCACAAATGTATAAAGCAGCCTTCAAACTCTTTAAAAGCTTCTGGTCCAAAATCACACCCTGTTAAAGTTGCCAAATAGTGAAATAATATACCCTTTTCATTCGAGATGCTGAAAACTATACCCTTTTCAGCAGCATATACCCATCTAGGTCAAGTAAGGGACTGTCCCCCCACCCCCAGGCTATGACCAAACTATGGTAAGGGAAAATCTGGAATCAAACCAACTGGTAAACTGCATAGTGGGGGGCGGGGGGAGGTATTCCCTACAAGGGCCTATGTGGGAAGGCTCCCCCGAAAGCCGGGGTACCTTTTCCCAGCTTCACTGGTAACAGATACATGAAAGAGCATGAAAATCTCTTATTTTGGTCTGTAAGGAAGCCCAAATGGGCTAACAGATGTATTTTTTGACAGTGAAAAAAGTCAAGAAATTGTTCTGGCTTTGTAATTTATTCATATTTTAAAGACACAGCAGTGTTAACAGAGATGCAAAGTTCTAAACTAGGTGTGCGAAAGGGGTACCATCTGTGAATAGATGGGGTTTAAAAGGGGTATCTTGTCTGTCAAAAATGGTAATTAAAATGTTGAGGAGTTGGACCTCAGGGGGGAGATTCCCTGTACAAACCTTTGTTGAATATACTCCCCTGGGGTATGGAGAAAACAGGCTGGGAAGTATTATGGGAATAAGTACTGTCAAACCTCCATGTTCGACTACCTATTAAGTGACCATCAATCCAAGACACCAAAACCTTCCCAGTGAAAGACCTGCAGTTGGAACTCCATGTAAATAACCACCTCGTGGTCGCTACCACTTTTTGGAGTGACAGTTTTGTACTTTTCCATTGATTTTAACATCATGTAAGAGATTACTTGATACACTGTCTGATCTCTATGTTTAAATTATGTATTTGTAGGCTAGTACAAGAGTACGAAGATTAGACAAAGTGGCAGTTAGATTAATGTGAATATTAATCCTATTAATATAAATCTAGACATTGGTAGCAGAGAGGCCCTGGTTGGGGGCAGGAAGGGTTCATAGTCCGTATTTTCATATTGAGCAACTTTCATTGTATTATCACAAGACTTTATTAGAACCAATCAAAATAGTCCACGCTAGTAAGTCTCAGGGGATTGCCCAACCTAGCACGTTTCGTATTAGATGTATAGCTATTTGAGTTCATTTGAACCTACGCTTTACTAGCAACAGCAATTATAGCATTTTTAAATAGCTTGTATTTTCGCTTCCCCCCCACCCACACCTAAGGCAGTTTGATTGTTCGTTGTTTTGTTTTTGTTTCTTCATTTTGTAATTTTTCGGTTGATTTCATTGTATGGCTGTAGTATCCTCTTTCTTATCGTTTACGTTGAATTGTTAATAGTCTAGTGGTTTATTGCACTGTGGAATGTAAATAAACACTGCCTGGTCCCAATCACTTGTCTACTATATATCTGTGTGATGTTTAGATTGATTCATCTCATAAATGCTGCTTTCAAAATGAAATTTGACGGTCTTTACTGACCAAAATAACGTGTAAGTATAAGAAACTTTTTTTTTACTTTTGAGTGTTTCAAGTGTAGTCATAATATAAATAGTATACCCTATGATTACAAAATTAGCACAGGTAAGTCACGCGTATAAAAAGAAAAAAGGATTCATTATAAATTAACAGGCTTACTTGTCTGAAAAAACTTTCATAGACAGTCGCATGTCCCGCCGAGAGCTATGAGCAAAGGAAAAACAACAAATGCGTGAATGTTTACCACATGATAAGAAAATTATCTTAGATATTCTATCTATTTTGATATAAGAGGGGCGTAAAGGCATGATGTCACGAAAGAAACAAGACGATCTGCGGCGGGGGATTTGTTTTAAATCAAAGGACTAATTGATTTATACCATGCTGATGCTGATAGATCTAGACTCCGTCTCGGAAAAAAATAGACCATGTGAATTTAAGATGATTTGCATCGAGATATAATCGCCCTAAAAGCACTTTTTGCAAAATCGACCAAATGGACAATCAAAGTGTGTTTGTTGCAGTCAATATAAGATTGAGGTTCACTTTAGATAAGCCATAGAAGTATTTGTAGCAGTGGTAAAAAAGGCTCCGTTTAAACAATCCACAGGAATCTTCACAACAGTGATTTGCAAAACATATTTTTAAACAAAGGAAGACATATGGAACAGCTGATGTCTGCTGAATGCGCCACAAACATAAATTCAATGCCCTTTTAATTCCAACACTCAGCTCGATCTTTACCTTGAACAGTAAGCTTATCAATTTGCGATGATGAAATGAAATTACGATCGCCAATAAATCACAGAGATCTCATGGGGAAAAAGACTATGACATGAGACACTGTTAAGTAACGCAAAATGTCACAATCGTGATATTCTTTTACACTGAGACAATAAAAAAACACAGCTTACCTGGGAAAGGGTTGGTATACCAGCAGCCATGTTTATATCCGGACAAACCGCGGGCTCAAATCCTTGATTAATATCGTGCGGTCAACCATCAACAAACTATGCGTGGAAGTGTTTATGCGCAATTACAATCCAGTCTCCCCGTCCAAGATGGCGATAGGATCGAAGATTGAGCTTGGCCGGGTAATACGATTAGTTTTATTTATTTCTCTTTTTGTATTTCTGGTGATAATTGGGGTCAATGTCGTTTTAGTTACAGCTATCAGTTCTTTTGGGAGAGTAAACCTACAATTATATATGTGTTATTCTAAATAATGTTAATAATCTTACCAGACTTAAACTAATCTGTTCCGGTACGCTAAGCTACGTGAGAACTCGCCAACAAGACTACGCTCATGCGGAACCCAGCGTGAATTCTTTTTCTTAAAATTAAATTATACAACTTTCGTACTTCCCAGCGAAGTATTTGTCATTAGTCGTTCTGTTTTTCCAAACATTATTTTTTTACAATTTACGTAAAAGGATCAGTGTGATCCTTGTTATTTATAGCTCATGTCTGACCTTTAAGACATAACAGTAAACTTAAACAAACTGCTACACAACTAGAGTAAAATGTCTGCACAGCCCCATGCATTCATTATGCTTGCATGTTCTAACTCTATTTTATGTATTAACTTATTTATGTAAAATTGCAACTGAGATTGCTGCATGCACTTTTTTATGTACCTGGGTGGAAATCTTACTCAAACCAGCTTTCTGGTGTTCCAATCTTACATGTTTTTATGCCTGAAACAAAAACAGCTAATCACACAATAATGACACTACATGTATGTCCAGGGTAGGGTGGGAGGAAGTCTTTACTTGCACATGCCTCATTGAGTAGATGCTTTTGAATTATAGTGAAAAGAAAGTAAGCAAGAAAAGCATTTCATAGACCTAGCTCAGATTCTGCACTGAGCTGAGCTTCTGATCCAAAGTGAAGAAAAAAACTGTCTATACCTGTTGATTCAGACACCAAATTTGATAAACTTAGTTTGTTAGGTTTACAATAAGCTTAACTGATACTGGCAGCTCACATCCCAACAGTAATTACAACTTTAAATGAAGATTTGATCGGCACAGTGGTAATTGAAATTAAACAATTGCCAATTAACCTCTCCCCCAAAAAAGAAATTGTTACTCCAGTGGGATTCAAACCCATGGCCTCTGTGTTAGCACTGCAATTCTCTAGTTAATTGAGCTATGGAGACCCATACATTAGCAGCAGGCCAATTTGTTTAGTCAATGTAATTGTTCCTTATTGATTCAGACACAGAACTTTTTATGTACTTAATTTAAAGCATACATGCAAGGTTCAGGTTTTGAATATTCAGCATCTGAAGTGGGCCTTGCTAAAAGCATTGTTAATGATCCATATGCTGCTTAACAGTGGAACCTCATTAATACAGACACCAAGGGGACATGCCACAATGTCCGTTTTATCAGAGTGTCCATATTAAGCAGGCTCTCAGGAAAAGAAAAGAAGAAAAAATGTCATGGACACTTGTTTTATTGATCTAGAGATAAGAGCAGACATTTTTATGAGAAAACATTGTAAGCGCAATAACCATAACAAGTTCATGCTTAAGAAACCTCACAATCATTAAATGATCATTAAATGTGTCTCTTAGTTATTTATCATAGTCTCAGACTAAATCTACCTTGTCCCTTTCAAGTATTTGTCGGGAAATACAACAAAAGAATCCATGACTCTACTTTGTATTGGTGCTCCAAGTTTGTGACTCAGCCAGGGGGACTGAACAGTAGACAGAACTTTTGACAGGTCATTTCTGTTGTTTCTGTTAGTTATTTACCTGTAAGATATTTATTCATAGACAGTGTGCAGAAAAGCAGTGTCCATAACGTGGGGTTGATAATGAATGAGAGTTTGTGACTCTGTATTAAGCGGTTAATTTTAGAGAGAATATAAGAGCTTTGTCTGGACAAACGAAACTGTCAGTTATGTATGGGTGTACGTAGAGTGGGGTTGAACTGTATTTTGACTGTTTCCCATTTACAGTGCATCCATACCTGATCGTTCACAACAGGCAACAATTCAGGAAGAATCATTATTAAATTTTCTTATTATGATTTGCTTTACAGATTGTGTTGTATGTGTTCTTTCCTGTTGCTGTGTTTGCGTTTTTCAATATGCCTGAATCCTATGAGGAATTCATGTCACAAAAAAAGGTTTGAACACACTTTTTATTCGCACCTTACCCTTTCTTTTGATATGTTAGAGCAAGGGCTTGTTCCCTTTAAGTCTTAAGAGTGACCAACAACAATTTTCTCCCAAAAATATCGATACATATTAATTAAAAGAACAGTTGTTGAGAATAAATAAAATGATCACCTAAGGGAAAATGCGTTGATCTTTAAACAGGGCTTCTGACAGGTCACGGAAGAAAAAGTCAAATTTTGCAGGATTTTTTTGGGACAAATTCGTGGAAAAATTGGTCTATTTCGCGGGAATTTCTGAGGCAAACTTCACCAAAAAGCAATCGGTAAAAAACGGCGGATTTTGTGGTTATTTTCAAGGCAAATTTCACTAGAAATCGATCGGTTTTGTGCTGATCAGACTAGCGTTTTTAACATTTTTCTGACAGAGGTCATCATTTGCTCTCTCAACAACAATACGCTCTTTTTCATAACATAATCTACGCCTGGTAGTTTCAGGACATTGTTTGCACGTTTCAGTGGCGAAAGTTCTATGATAAATTTGCAAGTTCACGGCAATTAAATAGCCCCAATAGCTGAAATACGTTTCATATATATTGTACAGGCATGTATTTAATAAGATTTCTACCAAATTTCTTGGTATTTTTCGTGTTTTTGTGAATTTCGTGCGATTTCTCTCAACTAATTCTGTTAGGAAATGTATGGAGATCAGTTAGGAGAATTTGTATGTGGATAATGGGGCTTAAAGTATTAAGCGGTGTATGTAGAGCAGGGTTCCACAGTTCATGACTCAACAGAGCCAGTTCCTCTACAGGTGTATCATCGAACTATGTTAAAAAAGTATAAAAATCAAAAGGAAGACAGAGGAGCAGTTTTAGAAACTTTTCCTCTTTCTTTCATCTTTCTTGTCACTGCTCCCTTTCCCCCAACCCCCCTCGCCCTGACTGGACAATCGAAACTGTGCATTAAATATCCTTGTAAGGGTTTTCTTTTGATGGCGCAAAAATGAGTTTGAGTTTTGATCATTTTTTGTCTGTACAGCATGCAAAGAAAGTAGTGTCTAGTAGTGGTTTTTGTTAATATTGGGCTAGTGAATTCTGTTTTTAACTTGCCTGACGTACAAGTGATGTTTTTTGAGGAATTCGAATAACAGAAGAACTGTGAAATCAATTCTGCTCATCAAAAAGTTATTGGGGCTATAATTGAAATGATATCTGGGCTAGCATTATGCTAGCTTCAGCTTGCCCGACTTGCAAGCTGTAAAAATGATTTTCTTTGCACCCTGCTATAGCCTGAAATTAATAATAAACAAATATCAGAGAACCATTTTCAAGGTCAAACAAAAATCGCTGTACTTTGTCTTTATTTTAAAACCCCAAAAAATTGTGAAAAAAAAATGAACACATGACAAATAATTTTAAAAACCATTGTAACAAAAAATAGTAGTAATAATTATACTCCTTACTTGTCAGTTTATAGATTCTTCCTCACAGTTGCTGTATCTCACGTTGCTGCCTTTTTATCCACAGAAAGAACTGTACCCACCAGATCAAGACTGTCATGTGAGTATTCATTATAATATTATTGTTACTAACTGCTAAGTTATTTTGTTCATTATGAATAAGATAAATTTTCTCTTGTAGCAAAGACTGCAGGCAGCTAGAAATGCTAGTCCATCTTAAAATGAGGGACTATGCATTGAACTACAGCCTTGGATAAAAGTCTTGAGACAGTTCCATCTATTAATTTTTTTTAATAATCCATGGTCCATACGATGATGTCATCAAAGCGGAAATCCGCCCCCTCTCCACTGCCAAGTCAATGTGTTGGGGCTCCCTATGCTTGTGTTATCCAAAACAAAAAGAGAGGCTTGGGACGGGGGAGGGGGGAGAACAGCCCTTTTCTTAGCAATTGAAAGTTTTTATTTCAGTCAGAATTAGTCATTTGTCTTAATCAGTTTTGTCCAAGGTGTTGCATCCGATCTGAGAACATGGGCGGGTTTTATCCTGGCAGGTACTGTGCAGTGAACTAGCATCTCATACACAGGGACAGTAGAAGTACTCAGGGACTAGCCCTACCCTAGACCAACAAGGGTGGCACCCTAGCTTGCAATGGATAAGTGGCTTAAATCATCTGGATAAGAGCAATGCTGTGTCATCTGGGAGGAAGGAGTAAACATTCTATGATGGATAAAGTCCATATGTACCAATATAATTATTAGGAGCATACATGTATCTCTTGGGTGACATGCTATCCACAGAGAAGCGGTAGTACCATGGGCTAAGCTACAATTACAATAAACTAATTAAAAGTTATTTAACACAATTTTCCATGGAGCATGGTCAATTGCACTTACTTATTTATAAAAGGCCAGTTAGCACAAATCCAGGTTTAGTTACCATAACAACTTTGTTTACATTTCACCTTTAAGTCCCAGTATCTACATACAAAATTCTCCTGACTGATCTTTATACATTTTGTTAAAGAATTAGTGATCAGAAGAGAATTATTGTTAAAAGATCAAGGCAGTATGCCAAAGGTGATCAATGAACATTTACTGATTCTGATAACATTTTTTGCCTCATAATGTATTGATATGAATTGTTAGGCGAAAATTGATGTTGGTCACTCTTACGACTAGGGGACTGTTTACGTGGAGGTGGGGGACCCCAGATAGGTGCTCAGGTAACTTCTGGCAGGTCACCCCACCAATCATGTAAACATGATCCAACTGAAATGAGAGATTATATGAACAGACGGGTTACCTCACCTACCTGGGGTCCCCCAACTCCATTAAACAGGTCCTTAGAGGGTTAATCCCGGAATGGAGCTAACCAGTCTGCAATCATTACTCAGTCCTGAATTGTTCCTTGCAATGTACTAGCATTCTATCCAGTAGGGAATAAACCCCTCCACAATTTTTTCAACTATTGACTGAGACAAGTTAGTCTCCTTCACAGCCCTTCTAAGGCTCATCACGCCACTCTCCTCCCCTCATGACAAGCCTAAAAACGGCTGTGAAGTAGACTAGAGACAAGTTAGTGATAATCCATTAGCACGGCTGAAAAGAATGCCTTTAAGTTAGAAAAGGTGCCAAGTTTGAATGTGATTTGTTGAAAAGTAATGAAGATATACATGTAGCTCCACAATTAGTCACCAAATTTTACAGACATTTGTATGGTGGGGGGCAAGTTCGTACCCCTCACCATACAAACATCGCTTTTCACATATCAACTATAAACTTGGTATTAAAGTTTCCTTTATTTAAAGGTGCTCTTTCCAGCAGTTTTAATGGATATTCGCTGACTGGTCTTAATCAAAACTTGACAAAAGGCATGGAAGGGCCTCAGTTACTGGTTCTTTGGGACTGGTTGTTTCAAATGATTACTTTTCAAAAGATCACTGAAAATTTGACTTCAAGTCTGATTGCTTGGAAAGCAAATTCCTAGGCTTGGTTCCTCGAAAAAAGTTAAGTTTAACCCAGAATAAAAAGGCAAATATAAGTGCAAAGCTGGATAAATAATATTGGGCCTGAACTTCAGGATCCAGTTATGACAACATAAAATGATAATTATTATCTATAGTAATCAGTCTCCAGGAAGTTAAATGAAATCAAATGTTCAAATTTTAATCCTGGATTAGTGCTACTGGTCTTTCAGGAGCTGGGTGCAGGTGATTGTTTTTGCCTGTTACCCTAAAATAGTGAGTCAAAATGAAAAGAAAAAATTAATGTTTGAATATTTTAAAATTTTACCCCATAAGGGCCTTCAAGCAACTGGGCCCTGGTAGGCAATCTTCACCTGGGGAGTGCGTGTTACAATACGTCTTGTGATAGTCATGACAATAAAGGATTGGGATGGTCATCCCGTTTCAGTTACAGCATTTTCACCAACCCACGTTCGATGTATTAAAATTCTAAGATGACTCCAAGGCTTAACTGTACTAAATTGCAAATTTTTAACAATTCCATTGTGTTGCAATTTCCAAAAGAGACTTGAGCACAAAGAAAACCAAATCAAATATAGAAATATGACCAGAAAGACTCAGAGGAGTTATGTACTAAGAATTTTAATACATTATTGAATGTGGGCTCCAGTCATTTTGTTACAGATAGTTATGGTGAGTCCTGGGACTCATGTTGTGAAAAATCATTAGTCCCCTTCCAGAACCAACTAGTCCCAGTTTAAAAAGAACGAGTAAGAAATTGAAAATGCTTAGGCTTTTATGTAACCAGACAGTTAATCTGAAGACAGACTCCAAAACTCTGTATTACAGTATACTGAAATTAAAATATAGTCCTTCTATTTTAAAACACAACAAAGGCTAAAAGAATATGCATCGTTAAACAACAGCCAGAATAACTGCCACAGAAATTACATGAATGGGCCAGTTTCTACATTAATACACATGTTCAGATCGATTGATCAATCTTTGTATTCTACGGGATGCATGCCATGAATTATTTTGGATTTCTATGCGTGAGGGACACAAGATGCTGACGTAACAAAATCACTGGGGCTCTTAACTGAATTCTTTCTATTTGTTACTTAGAGACCTCCAACTACTCTTGAGGATATAAAGAAAGCTAGGGAGAAAATGGTAGAAGACAACAGAAAAGAAACAGCACAGCAGAGTCAATAGGAGTCATCATTATAATTGTGAAGGTTATCCTTTGAGAACTAATAACAAGCCTCTAAGAAATATCCTTAAAATATTTCATTTTTAATAGAACTCTCACAATATCGTATGAATATTAATGTACAAAACATATTTCCAAGTTAATATTGGTACATTCACTGGTTTTGTTTACAAGTTGTGGGTAACTATTTATAATATTGAGTAAGCTTGTGTACAAAAGATACGTACATTTCTATGAATGTTATGAACTATAATTTTTTGGATGAACTGTTCTACTTTAATACATGTATGTAACATAAATTTCTGATCTTCACTTTTTAATTAATAATATTTTCTACTTAAAAGTTCCGCACTTGGTCATTTGTGGTGTTGTGGAAGGTTCTGTCAGAAAGGATGCACTGTTCTACACAAAATTCTCCAAAAACAGTAATAAGAACTAACATATACCAGTACTGCCAGAGTTTTAAAAAGAATAGTTGGGTTGAAGGGGTCAGTGTTGCTTTAAATATATTGTTTGGATGCAGAATAAAACACTCTTTCTACTGACTGATATGAGCACCTCAATCTATTAATAACATTTTAAACATTTTCAAAGAAAGTGTGTTTTATGGCAATTACTTTATTCTGACCTCTTCAAACCCATCACTGACACCAGTTTCAGGTTTTTGCAGCCATACTTAGGTACATGTGAATGAGATTGATTTGTGCAACTGGTAAATGCGATTCCCAAATTAAAGTTACCTATCATCACCTTTTTTAACACTGTGATGAACTGACTGGATGGTTGGCTTTTAAATGGTAAACAATCTGGAACATTTCAAGTGGGAAATCAAGACAACCTAAGTATTCAGATGTTAAAAAGATTTGTTTTAAAAACAACCAGATTTTATGTATCTTTTTTAAATGGTTAACAACCAATTTCTAAATGGAAGATGATCACAAAATATTTTCCTCGGTAATAAGAGGCACCTATATCCGTAGTGATTTTCTCTGGCTTCTCTCTACCTATTATTACCAAATTTGGGTCTCTGAATGTCAAATCATATAACATGGTTCTTGCTGAGGTGCTGCGCACTATGCAAAGTCATTGAATACATAAGTTCTGTCAAGGAAGTGTCATCAATAACAGATTGTGAAGTCTGGCATCCCTTACTGGTTAATGCGTCTTGCAAAGTGAAAACAATGCTCTTGAGATCTCACTTAAAATCAGAATTGCTTAAGTCGTGGCACCTTTTTCTTCAGCCAGGGTTTATCTTTGCCTTGTTCATGCAAGAGCTTGTTGTCAGTTCTTGTGCAAACATCACTAATGACAATGACCAAGACAGACTGATACACGCAAATCAAACTTTGAAGAACTTTGAACTCTCTCTCTCTTTCTGACATGATTCATCTGAAAGCTTAACATGTACTGAGCTTTTCATGTCCACACAGATTTCTCTGTTTGTTCAAAGGATGATAACAACTGTGTAGAGATTTTCTCTATGCCCTTGCAGCTCCTGTTCCTTCTCTAAAAAGTGAGGTAGTGGTAATCAAGGTACAATCACTAGTTCTGGAGTGAATCTGAATTCTTTGCTAACTGGTGAATTTTGCAAGAACACATTGTTATCCGCAGAAGTCCTTAATACATCTCTGCGTGTATTTACTTTTGCTGGTTTTTTTCCACTTAATTCAGCTGGCCTTAGAACTCGGAACATCTGAAAAAGGAAAGAGAAGTAAAAATTAAGCTAGATATCAAAAGAGTAATCATTAAATAACAGATGACCAATTTTATAAGTTTTATTACAGATTGTGGTGAATTTCTCTAACAAATATGGCGAAAATAATAATTACTTGACTTTGGGGGTTTGTCACTTATTCTGAGGCGGTTGAAACTTTTTAATGTTAATTAACCCTGGAAGCCCTAAGTGTGATCAGTATCAAAATTCTCCTTGTGATATTAATGCTTTATGAAACAGATTGGTGATGAGAGTTAAGGAGATGATCACACAAGATAATTATAATGAGTTGATGCTTAAACAACTTCTCATTACTACTTTTATGGGAAATGTATGGGGACAGCAAATGGGAATTTGAATTTTGATATTAGGGCTTAAAGGGTTAACACCTCTTTTTATCCTAATAAATTAGCATATAGCTGCTGGCCATGTGAGTGAAACCACTCTATACTATAAGTGTTTCATGCTACAGAAACTGGGTACTATTGGAATACTGATGGGGTGGGGGGAGGGGGGTACAAAAAGTATTTCATCCAAGGGGAAATTCTTATGAAAAAAAAATTCATGCATGCCGAGTAGCATTAGGCCATATTCTGATGCTGCTCTACTTATGTGCCGAACCCAACCGATGAATTAAGCACAGCAATTTGGTACGACAGTTTTAGTTTTGTGTGGCAGAAGCATCAATAGTCTGTTGAAATTAACTTAGACTCGACACACAGTGTGCTGTCTGAATCAGATGTCGCACCAGTGTGACTCTAAAGTCAAACTTATTCAATTCAGTTCGGCACATGAAAAGTACCGCCTCTGAACCAGACCTTATAAAATATTCCTGCTCTGGTCTAAAAAATTTCATGCAAGGGAAATGTTAATGAAAAAAATTCATGCGCCTCGAAAATTCCCCATAACTTTTCAAATGGTCCCTCCCTAACCTTTTTTTAGTGTTGGGTAATTTTATGATAATTGACTTATAATCCCTGGAAAAATAGGCAAAAAAGAGGACATATCAATAATTGGGACATACCATATAAATAGCCATGACTGCTCCAAGGGCAAAACCTGCTGAAATATCGGTCCATGAATGCATATGCTCTCGCACTCTGTTTAGTCCAAAAAACAGCGACACCATAATACATCCACACTGAATGAATGGCTTCAGAAAGAATCCCTTGTTTTTAGACACGAACAGTGTTTCAAAGTAAAGCTGCAAGAACAAACATCACAAGCACTAAGTATTGTATGTATTACTAACTACTGTAGAGTGCAAGTATGACAATAATTTTTTGTTTGACATGCTTCTTACGCTGTGTATCAACCCTCCAAGTTGCGACCATTTTGGTCGCCATGGCGCAGCTGGTGACTTGATTTGTAAAAAAGTCTCCCTAAACCAAAAGAGTTGATGGCTAATTGGCGACTGAGCAAAACCTTTAACTTGGGGGGTTGTGTATGGATAAATCTTTTTTGTGTTTTTGGGTCTCTTCTTGTTGATCTGAGGGTTTGTAAACTGCTACAACATAAGGAGCACATTTATGAAGGCATGTTTAATTTCCCAGCGTGTTTTCTTAACATGACATGCTTTTTATCAGTTTATGATGAACACTGATTAACTGAATATGTAGGCTGCCTCTTAGTAGGTTAACATTGGGTGCAAAATAATAGCGAGCTGACAGAAAAAGAATAGCTACTTACTGCTAAGAAGAGCATGCCATACATGGTACCAGATGAATGTGCAGAAGGAAATGATCTCCTATAAAACAAATGTGCAACTTCAAATTAATCTAAATTTATCAATGTGAAGTAAAAAAATTTGGGTGGATGGTGTAACATTATTAAAGCCGTAAGTCAAAACTTTGTTATAATTTGGAAGAGGGAAAAATGTAACAGCAGAAAGCGCAAGAAAAAATGCTAAACTCCAGGTGAGAATCGAACTCATAACCCTTTTGTATTTAAGATGTTCTAACCACTGAGTAACTGGAGGGTCTGTGGTGAGAAGGGTCGAAATTTATTATGGCTCATGTAAATATTATTACAATTACACCAGCCATATGACACACAGAGTGGGCCATGGCAAAACCTGGATCAGACTGGACAGAATCAACCCAGCCCTTAACCATATCCATAACCTTTTGTAGGGGTTAATTTGATCTATTGCAATCCAGGTTTAATTTACAAGTGTGTGGGTGTGATTAAAGTTCCTGTAACTCAACCCATTTCCTGCCAATTAAACCCAGTGTATATCATAAACCCTGTTCATGGACCCACTTAAGAACATCAGAATGTAACAGAAAAGCACCTTTTGATTCCTTTCGTGATTGCACTAACAGTACATGGACAATCATGTACATATTCATTATGGTTGATTCATGACCAGTATCCTTCAAGTATCTAATGATTGTTATCATCTGTTTTCCTTTAATATTGTTTAGCAGCTACTTCCTCAAGAGGCCATTTTCTATATTTCTTAAGAAGTTCTTGAGGTGCTGATATAGATAGTTTTGCTTTTTATCACACGTTTTGCAATCACAGAATCTTTTGCACGCGCCTTCATGACGTTTTTTTTTAAAGATTTTTGATACTTAAAATGAAAGATAAAGTGAAATCAAGAGGCAGCTCTTTGGACAATGCCTCACTTTCAACTTTCCACGTGACTGTATTCCACTCAGATCTGACTTATCATGCTCACAAAATGAAACAATATTTTGCTATATATTTAATTTTCATTTTATTATTTCCTTTTTTTGTGACTCAGTCATTGCAGGGAACTTTAATTTTCTAACTAAAAAAAATAATCAGTGTGAAGACATACACACATACTTTAATTTCCTTGGCTAGTTAGTTGACCAAAGGTTTTCCAATATGTTTCAAGGGTGAATATTAATTAACTTGCATGTATAAGTTTCACACCAACCTTGCTCTTTCAATTGCAGCCTCATCTGTGCCAGTGCAGACATAGTTTGTGATGTACCCATCGCTACAGTTAATCAAGCTCATGTTTGGTTTGCACACAGCTAAGAAGTGGGGTCTCAGTTGGCCAACATATATTTTGATAAACAGGGTAAATAATAGGTTGACCAGAGTACCATATAGGAATACATAGATTATTTTAAAAACCCTGGAAAGAAAAGAAAATCTGCAGTTAGCATTGTTGCAGTTGAAATAACTAGAAGCCTGCAGCATTCGATAATGTCAGAATAGACCAGGCAAGATAATATGGGCTATACTTGAATATACAAACTTATATTGATGATGATAATAATAAAAATAATAATAAAATTGAATTATTATTATTATTGTTATCATTATTATTATTATTATTATTATTATTATTATTATTATTATCATCATCATCATCATCATCATCATTATTATTATATTTAAAAAAAGTGTTGAATTTTATGGTCAAAGCCCTCTAAAAAGGAATGTGCAAAATTTAAACTCAGGTTTTAAAATTTTGGAGGGATTTATGTGGTAAAAGATAATCTTTTATCAAATCCTGAGAGTTGTACATAGTCTACATAACATGTCCAAACATCTTTTTACCACTAGTCTGTTTTTCAATTAAGATAGTAGGTCATAAAGTATGTAAGAGAAAATGTTACATGGGCTATAGCTAGTCTAGTTTTCCTGGAAGATTGTTTTGTATGTTCCAGACATAACCAGCTATGCTTTTGACAGACTGCTAAGTTTACAACTAACAAAGTTGCATGACAAAAGAAAAATTGAAATGGGTGTGTTAATGAAACCACAGACAAGACATGACAATTAGTGTTTAACAAGGTTTTATTAACAGCTCAAAGGGTCAGACGTACAAATCCGTATTAACTGAAAGTCAGGGTACTTTTAATTTAAACTGACCAATCAAAGGAAAAGCCATTAATGGATTAACTTACCAAATCACGAATGTTCACTTATACATTTCGGAATCACTGTGGTCCCGTTACAAATGAATTTCGGCAGATGCTTTGTACAAGTATCTATTTTTTTTATCAGACTGCTAGTTGCTTTATCAAATTAAGAGCTTAGTTTAGAAAGAAGAACCATTGTGTGTGGTTTTATTAATTTACAAGCGGTTCCAAATAAACAGGATCATCCTGAAATATTTTATAGGCTGCACATTGTTCAAGACTTTCATTACCTCTGGAATACTGGTTTTTTGGTGTAAGGTCCACAAAGTAAGTTTTCATCACCGTCTTGGCTATATTGTTGTCTCGCAAGGTCACCGTTGTACCAGTGTTTTCCAACTTCACAGCTGATGATCTAAAAAAATTGACATTAAGTAGGCATTAGTTATCATTTTATAATTGTTAACTTTAATGCATGAAGTTCCTAGAAAACCTGCAACATCTAATCGTCATGGTGTTTTCAGAGACCTGTTTATTTTTGGATGCATTCTGGATCATTTTTTCTCATACATGTAGTAGTCTAAATTTAATGGATCAGTTTAAAAATAGACATGTCTGTGGAAACACTGCAACAGAATACGTGGCTACTGAACTGCTCTACAGACAAATGGCAATGTGTTCATGTGAAACTTTGTGTGTCCCTATTCCCTTGCACTGGGTGGTATAACCTTATGGCTGCATACAGCATTATGGTGCTGATATTTAATACTTGCAAGCTAACCCTAGATCAGGCTCTATTTTTATTTTGCTTGGTAAACATAATCCTAGCAGGCAAGATGAAATGAAAACAAGCCCACTTTTAGCACAACTGCTTTGTAAAAGAGCATGCTTGAAAGCTGAGATGCCTTCAAGCAAGCTCTCAGTAGGGAGTTACAAAGTCCAAGGTTGCTCTTTCTAAAATGACCTCTTAGACCTCAATACCAGCAAGCAGGCAATCTTAGAACTGCACCATCTCCTATATTTAAATCTACAGTGCCTCCCACCAGCCACATGTTCCTCCCTAGTTTAGTCATATATTAAGCTGGGAACGATCAAATAGTTCGGCAGTATAGGTTGATAAATTTTTAGAATCCTCTTCTCAATAGCTTTCAGCAAAGAAAACCAGGTAAAAGTAAAGAAGTTTTAATTATTGCCTCACTTAAGTGTGAAACATTTATTGCTCACTGTCTTGTATGTAATACAGAATTTCTTTTTTCCACCCAATTCACTTAGTTGTCACTCCAAAACACTTGCTGTACTTGTCTGATTCATGATTTAAAGCGAAGTCACTCTTAACAATATAAAGTTCTAAGTCTTAATGATGCAAGTAAGCCCTTACAATCACCGTCACACTATATTTTTATTTCTTTTGGGAAGCCTGTCATCAACTGGACCTAATTTCTTTCTTTCATTATTTTTCATTTCAGTTAAACCACTCAAATATTTATTGAGGGCTTCTATGCTCAGCCACTTATTCACAATATTAAATCAACTCTTCTAAACAAATTGCTAATCACGGAAAGAAAATTCTATTTTGGGCATCAAGGGTAAACAAAATTAACCAGTAATGTACCAATGGAAAGATATCTCAAACGTGGCAGAATATACATGAATAACAGATTTGACAGATCTGTAAGTATTTCTAGATATGTAAAATTTTACCACCTCATGGTTGGAATTGTTTTTATCTTTCTAAATACTTTCTGAGCATTTCTAAGTTTTAAAATACCATGGTGTTATGATCAAAAGGAATTTTAATGAGAATTAATAGCATTCTACAAAAAATTCTTAGCTCTGTGAAATCTTTGAAAATATGTTGGATGAAGAAAATAATCTATTTGAGTTATGGACTAAAATTCTTTAACACCACTGAACTATGTAATAAAACATAACGTGAAGACTACATGTACAGAAGGAAATAGTCGTTAAGTCAATTTTAAAATTTAATTATGGAAAAAGACTTGCTTGTTTGTATCAGTATATTAAAGGCTTGTTCAGGAAGTAATAAAACTTGTTCAAAGTTTTAAATTTAGAAATATTTAAGTGGCTTAAATTTAGAGGTCACTAAATCTTCCAGGGAATAATTATTAGTTAATTAATTCTTGGACATAAATATAGTAAGTTATCTTTAGGGACCAGATTTAAGGGGTGTGTTAGTGCCAAGCCATTCTACCAGTTATCTCACTCATGTGATCTGTAAATTTATCATTCCCAGACACCAAGATAACACGAGATATGTTTATCTGCACTTTTAAGAAGAGCCGCTCAAAGGGATTAAATTCATAACATGAAAGCTTCCAATAAACACATTTTTTTTAAAAACACTGACATAAAAAACATCAACTGCTAATAAGAAGGGGGGAGGGGGTGGGGTACTTTAATACAGGGACAGATGCCAAAAGAGAATTTTGTATAAAGATTTTCCAACTATATTCAGCAAGGTATATTGCTCATGAAAAGCCTCATTGCGATAAAAGACCCCTGGCCTATATATTTCAAGCCGGCAGCCAGTATTTTCTTTGCGTGATTTTTATCGGAAACCGCTCATAAATAAATTAAGGTCGTTGAGGTAATACACACCGGATTTCATTTAATATTGAAGCAGCGTTAACGTTCAAAAAACACGTACTACGCATCCGAGGATTAAAAATCGGAAAAAAAGAAGTTTTTAATGTAATTGGAAAAGCTTATGTCCATGAAAATCAAAGTAATCCATCAATCGGAAAAGAAACAAAAGGTCTTTCTAGTGCAGGAATAGTTAGTTTGATAACCATATTCTGCAAGATATTTATCTTTCCAGTTCATTTTCGTGTTTACAAACTTTTTATTGGCTTTCTATCACTATATCCAAAAACTACGTCATCTTTCAAGACAGCGACCCATGGAATGAAAGCACTAGCCAAGGCAGGAAATATGTTTTCTATTACCCTGTTGAAAGCTAGGGTTCTAGATTTTCAACAGAAAGTTTTTGTAGGATCCAACTGTGTTCAAACAATATCAGAAACATTACACAGCATGAATAAAGATATACGCTAGCTTAAGTCAGCAAACGAGATCAATTCATTGGAATATAGGAACTTATTTATTCGGTAGAAGGTTGTTGATGTTGTTGAAACAAGAACAATTACAATGAAAGGCATGTATTAGAAATGCCATCTCTTTAGGCTCCCACGCAATTACGTCGTCTTTCCCAGAAGACACCCTTCTGTGAGAAATGTTCGTACGCGGACGCGTTGAGAAACGTACACTTAATGAGGCTATTTTCAAACAAGAATAAACGAGCAACTTACCACCGAAACTGGCACGATCACCGACACAATGATTACCACCCAATTTGGAAGGCTCTCCTTGCTGCTGTACGGGTATTTGATACTATCGTCATTACAGAAAAATCCGCGGCGATAGGGAGGAATGACCAGACCCAAAAGAGCGTTTATGAGTCCGATGATCAATAGACAGGCCAGATCAGCAACTTGAAAAAGCTTGGCGGAAGACATTGTAGCTACTCCTAAACGGCGTCCTGATTGTTGTTGCTAATACAAGCGCACAGAAGTTCTTATAGTGCTTCGGACGTGGATCAATGAGTGTAAATCCTACACCTCTTTGACCTTTTACGCAATGATTGACTGCGGCTGAGCGCTAAGCAAATACGTTTATCTGAAAGCCTGTTGTGTAAGATTACCCAGAACCTCCCTCGGGCGGAGGAAGACGACACCAACGTAGAAAATCTCGGAGGGGCAACTGTGTTGCATTTAGGAGTGGGGTGGGGGGGAGGGGGAATTAATCTCCCGCTTTAAAAATCTACATCTGTTTTCATCCACCTTAGCTATTGATGTCCTTCGTTTTACTATATTTCGTGTAAAATTTTTCCAACGATCAGAGAGAAACGCGAATGAATTGAAAACAGCTTGATTTGCAATGCTTTATGTTAGACTAATAACGCCCCCCTCCGGAACTTTTGAACCCATCTGAAATGACAGGCGAAAAACGCAAGGTCAAATTACTGCGGGTGATTTATTTTTTCAAGCTGCTTGTCAAACAGTAAATCGAGATTCATTCATGCAACAATAAATTCCGGAACTGCTGATGGGAAAAATTAGAACTTTAGTTGATTCGCTTGAAAAAGAAGGAAAAAAATAGCAACAGCATAATAGAATTTACCGGAAACCTATAGCCTCTGATATCAGGTCATCTCACCGGATATGAGATGAAATCTGCTAGGGTTTTCTCGATCTCTGAAGTGATGTGTTTCTTAGCAATTGGATCAGTGTTTCTTTAAGACCTTTTCTTGTTTCGTATGTTTGCAAAGATTTCAAGTCTTATTATACCCAAATATAATTTGAACTTTTCCGGATTAAGCCCTGCTCTCGCAAAACCTTATCCGGTGCAAATTTGACATTTATATTGAATCCCAAAAGATAACATTTACCGAATATACGAACACAAACATCAAAACACGAAAGTTGTGATACAATAGCTTTTTACCTCGTTGGTCACGTGCTCTCGACGGTCAAGTTCCTTGATAAGTGTTTTTTTGTGTGGTAACTCTACAGGAAATTGCTGTTTCTTTTACGGGTTGGAACACAAAAGTGGCAACGATTTTGTGATAAAGACATGGTTAAAAGCCTTGCCAATCCTGAAAGCGTGCCAGCAATTTGAAAAAGTTAATGATAAATCCAAGAGTTCAAGAAAAATTTTCTGAACTATTCTAAGGTAAACAACACCACACGAAACGGGCATTAAAAGGCTTGAAAGCTCCGATCAGTCACCTTGTACAACAAAGTAGGCTGGAAAACAGGAAAGCAGTGCTCGAAAGCTTTCGTTTGAGAAAAAGTAAGTTTTTTAAGATTTCCGATCAACAGGCTAAAAAGGTAGAAATCTCTTGTTATATGCCTTGAAAACATTTTCACAGGAAAGAATTTCCTTTTTCCCACTAGCAGATTAAAATTAGATTCTGTCTGAGAGATGGAATGACCGAAAGAGGATTTAAATTCTAATGCTACTTGTAAGAAAATACAACATTCACATCGTTCTAAACGCCCTTTAATGGTAGATTCAGTGATAGCTTAGTGAAATTAGCCAACAGAGATGACAACAAAGGCTTTTTTCTACATTTAAGGCCCAGCGCTACTAAAAATTAAGAGAAAATCTGCCCATAGAAGTTAGGTTTATTTCTCTTTGCCCATGGAAAAACACACGTAGGCCTCTAAGTGCTGTCGTGATGCTTTTCAAGTGGGCACTTAGTTTCTATGAAAATAAAGATAGTTAAATACTACAATAGCTCTAAAGTAATCGGTACCTAGGCTAAAAAACAGACGTATCGAGACGCATAAACGCTGTGCTTTAGTTACGCGGAGAGATACTCCCTTCAATATAAACAAATTAAATTTATTGAAATAACTTGTAACTTTTCGGTGCATTTATATATTTAACATAATTTGAATAAACTCTTTCTCAGCAATAAATCATTCCTTACGACTTGTACTTCGTTGTTGTTTAATTATATTGGACCTGGTTGTAAAAGTCTTAAGCTCGACCCTCTCTCAGATCTGCTTTACGTTTAACTCATCTCTGTTTCCTCCCAAGGCTTCTTACCTATGTCCCCGGCGGCCGATATTAAGAGCATTACACTTATAAACCGTGTTGTCTTATTTTCTAACAGTTCAAAATTCTATCAAGACTAGTTAAGACTGAACCGACGAAACTAAGAACTTATTTCTTAACGGTTGATCTTAAGAAACATAAACACTTCATTCTTGGAAAGTTCTGCACGATACAATCTTTGAGTGGTTTCTGATGTCGTTTATTAAGACTATTATAACACTCAATCACCGTAAATTAAAGAGAATGTCAAGTTAACTTTTGAAAATGAATAATGTCAAGTTAAAATGCCAATCAGCAGCTTTCATTTTTTTGTAGAGGTGTTTCCTCGAAAGAGTTTCGTCCACAGACTCAAAAGTGAGAATTACGTCTCTCCATAGTGGCTTTTGGGAGTGACAGTGTTGAGATTTCATTTGCTTTATTAAGTCGGTGTAAGTTTAGAACCAACTTTCATCATAAAGCGCAGGTCACTATCCACGATACACAGCCAGTTCACTCAAACGGATATGGTGTAGAAAAGGAAACTTAACTACGCCATAGTCGTTCCAGTCAAATGACCACACCTTTATTTACAGGAATAAAAATTTGTCAACACATTGCCAACCGGTTACTGTACAGTGCCCCTCCCTACCTCCTACCCTGTGGGTCACGTTTGGGCTTCTGGGAGGCGATGAAGCTGCAGTTACGATAAACTTAAACGTGCGACTCGCGCGCAAGAAAGGCTCTCCTCAAGAAATGACGGGGTGATGCCTTTTAAGAGTGTGTATTGAGAACACCACAGAGCTGAGTCACAGCTACCGCTCATAGCTTTCGTAACTGAAGAGTCACACCCACTCCGTAAGGGAAATTAAACAGGGACATACGTAAAGTAATCAATGGCTATCATTTGAATGGCAACCGTGGTACTTTAAAGACTTTATGGGATGTCATCCACAGACTCTACTGACCCTCAGTAAGTTGTAGACCAAAATAAACCTGCCTGCTCAGTAAAATACCCCTCATTTGGATAGAACTCAACTAAAGGATTTCATTGACAGACTCAAATCAGTTTATAGCGATCGTGTCTGTTTGGCATACCGAACATGTACAGACATCATCGCAAGAAAGGAGTACCTTTCAGTGGGAAGTCGAGAGCGGACCTATCATGACGTAATCGGTCGGCCCGGCTGAAGGTCTGTAATTACATTTGGAACTGCATCAAGTACATACAGTCAACTCCCATCATTTTTAATGGAGCACGTCAGCGGAAAGTCATAGAAATTAGAGGGTAAGTTGATTACCATCGTAATCTGCTATTTATAAAGAAGGAGATTTCTTGAGTATTTTACTTTCTATTATTTTTGTCCGTAAACATCTATAGTAGACTGTGTCCGAACACGAAGAAAAAGAGGAAAAACAACAACAGCAACGAGTCGACATTGTCATGAAACATCTGGACCGTAGCGGTAGCTGGTTTCTTGTCCATGATGGCCAAAGATATAGGTTTCACTGGAGATAAAGGTCAGAAAAAGAGGAAAAAACACTTTGAATGGCCTGCATGTAGTCTACGCCTCAGGGGAGTGAATCAGGATTGTTTTTGCCCGGTTTTTAACCCTGGACAACATCGGGGAAACGACAAATGCCAGATTAGCAGTGGCTTTGGAGAGATTTCCCCAAGACAAGAGTTTGATGACCCGGAATAACACTTGAATTTATGAATTGCCTCTTTAATCTTTGTACCGTTGCACCAGTTTTCAAACGCGTAAATCAGCGGTCAAAACAGTTAAAGGTGAAGAAGCTATATTCAATCTTGTATGTGGGGCAAGCTTGGAAGACAGTCTGTCATCTAAGATATTGAGTTATAAGAGTTCGAATTTCCCCGCTTATGTCACACGATCAAATACGCTGTAGTTTTTCACAAAGAGGAAGTCAGTCTTGTAGTTGTGGTCGTAAGTTCATCGAATTTCCGACAGGTCGCGTTTGTCATCGGAGGATAATGGCAAGCCCACCCAAAGGAAAAAGTAACTTACAGGTAAACATCTGTCTTTAAAAAAAGCTAAATGGAAAAATACAGGCAAACCACAGACTTGTTTTTTAAAAAAGTGAACTGAAAGACGTTATCCATCACCATGGATACGGCTTATGATGAGCCGGGTCACGCGATTTTATTCACCCGATCGCGCGAGTTAGTCGTCTCTTGTAGCGATGAAATGTTAGAAGTAGTTTACATGAGTTCTATTCTTTGTACAAATCAAACCCATTGTTCAAAACTGTTCATGATGTGATTATCAAGGGCACAAAAGGTTGGACTACCGTTCTAGACTGAGAGGGGAATAATATCGTCTGAAAATACCGCTCACTCTGGTTCTGTGGCTTTCATTTCAGTCATCACGCATGAAGGTTTTATCTACAGACTCAATAGTTCGAACCTCCCTTGTACAGCATAATAAACAGCACCATAGATACTTTCATATACTTTCATTTGAATGATCACACTCGTTAGGATTTCATCCACAGACTCAAACGTTAGTGAACTCCCCCTTACAGGTAAAAACAAAATCCCCCCCTACCCACAACACACACACACACACTAGACACGACACAATGTGCGCTTTGTTCGATTTATGCATCATGTCAGATGACATGTTTACCCCAATCTTCACTGTATGTTGTAACTAGTACCACGTACATCTTATGTTGTGCTTGGGAAGAGGGTAATTAGATTTGAGAGCTCTACAGTGGTCTCCAATTATAGTTAATTATAACAGAAACCTCCCGCGCTGACTGTGTTTGAGTTCCCATATTTTATCTGTTTGAGCCCGAGTTGTAGCCATTACAAGGTGTGGGGAGCCTCAGACGCGCTTGCCTTCGTAAAAGCTTGTGCGCACGAAAAAAGGCCTTCTAAGCGGGCAATGAC